GATGCACATGAAACAGTGAAGCACAGTTGTTGGGCAGCACAAAAGTGCAATGTGATATTCCTGTGAGCATGGTGAGGGACTGTTGGTGCAGTGCACAACACAACACAGCTGTGCTTCTTTGAGATGTTTACCAAATGACCTAAAGAGTGACTTCAGCATAGGAGGGTTAATGCACAGCATTTGCTAACAAATCTCGAAGCAGCACAACCCACGGAGTCATGAGAAAAAGCTGCTGCGATTCTAGCCCTGTCGTCATGAATAATTGTTGCTGATTACACGTAATTATTATCTCTGTGCTTTGGATTACAGTGACTTAGTGGACGGTCTGATCAAGCTGATGAACTCAAACGAGTCCTCTCCTGTCAATTTGGTAAATAAAATTCGGAAGCACACACACCAAAACAAAAAGTAACAAAACGAATCCATTTCCTGTGGACGAATCCTGTTACCATGGTTTCAATATCATTTATATCAGTGGCCCCCACCAATGGCATTAGGCATTGTGATAACTCTTGCACAAAACCGCTGCTACATGACAGTTGCTCCATAAGAACCCAATGCAGTGCTCTCCGCCATTAAAGGGGCCATCAGGATAGGCCGATGAAATGTTGCTGGAGTCGTCTGTCAGCAGAGCATCTGTGATTTACAACAAATAATGGAAGTTGTGCGCAGTTCTCGTTCAAATTGAGTTCTTGGGACATATCCAAATAGGAACTGTCAAATATGAGATTTGATTATTGAACTCAATAAAATTCGGCGACAGGGATCAGGGTTCAAGTTTTAATTTGTGATTGCGTCGCTCTTTTTTTTAATTACAGGGTAACCCAGACGAGCACACCATCATGGAATTTGCCCAGATTATCAGAAGCAAAATAGGCAAGTACAAACAGAGGAAATAAAATCTGGGATGAACGACGACCGTTTGTTTGTTCAGCCCTTGCCCTTCTAATCTGAAAGTCACATTTGCAGAGATGATACGCAGAGCAGAATGCAGTTTGCCTGAATAACCAAAATTAGTTGAAAATCTATTTTTTGTAGTCCTTTATGGGGTCCTTGGCGACACCTAACATGCCTAATGTTAGGTGTGCATCTTACATTAGCACATGTGTGAATAGGCCTCCTTACTGAGGTTGCTGCACTTTGTTTACTTGTGTACTTTCCTGTGGTACTCGGCTGACCATGGGCCCCTAATGGCTTCACAGAAAAGTGCACATACGAGCAAAATCTGACATGGTTAGTACAGAGGCCTGTACATATGTACCTATAGACATTTTTCCCGTGATGTCACAATCGTGCTGGACCGCGATGTGTTGTGATGGTAATGAATGCATCATGTGATGATGGTAATCTACTTATTCAAGATAAATTAGTCAAGCATGCAGCGTTCGAACGCGCACTTGCGCTTGGTCGAAATTGCCCATAGATATATATGCGATCACCGTGGCCAAGGAGGTCCACACGTGGTGATATTGTTTACATTTAGCGCATTCCAGTGATGTGGGTGAAACAGGTCTATAGAGTATTTGAAGTTGGAATTCATAAAGTACAGTCTATTCATTGGAATCATTCGCTCTCTGATAGTTTGTGCACAAGGCTACTGTTTGAACTGAAATCAGACCCTGTTGACAGACATTGTCCATGGCTACAGACTCAAGGCGCCTTTCCATATGGACGTCAACACTTGCACCACTTGTATTCGTCTAATCACTCCCGAGGCGATTTTGACAGCCGAACATGACGCACACGTGTGTGACGTTAATGGAGTCAATTTTTTTTGTCTGTGAAAGTGAAATGCAAGAATACGTCATGCACGCAACGTACCAAAAATCTTACATATGGAAAGGTGCCTTTTTATTAATGCAGCTTTATGGCTGTGGGCAAATTTACATGGCTGTGGCTTGGAATTACACACAACTCTATGGAAATTTCAAGCCACAGGAGGTAATTTGGACAAGGCCTAAGTTTTTGATGGCACATCGGTAAGTCCCGGCCAAACTCGCTGACCGACACCCCACTTTCAACTGGATATTTGTTTTGATGTCCAATCTCCAAACAAAATCCATCGGTGCTCATCAAAATCGGCACCGAACATCACCAGGAGGTGCGCCTGGCAGACAGGTTTTTGTTAAGATTTGCTTTCAAGGTGTGAAATGCCGCCACAGAATTGCTCGTTGCAGCTTGGCATTAGAGAAAGCACCGATGTTCTTGTTGACATGCTGAACAAGTAGAACAATGTTATTCACAAATAGAGGGTACAAATCATGCACACGATCCTACAACGTCTTCTCTCCTCAGTCTGGTCTCCATTTTTGAACCAATTTTGGTGGGTTTATGCAGCTTCATTGACAAAACCGAGGCAGTATCGGTCACAACATACATCTTGTCATTGCAGTCGTGAGGCAAGCCAGTTTTTGGACAGTCTTGTAAACGTAACTAAATGTCATTTTGTTTCATCAGGTGGCAACAGCGTCATACAGAATGTGGCGGCTGCAGAGGACGACCCACAGCGCCGAAAACCAGACATTTCCAAAGCAAAGAAGATACTCGGCTGGGAGCCCGTGGTGAGTATAAAATTAGTACCTCTGAAAACATGTGCACGTCTGGTCCCTCTTTCCTAGAAATCCTGGTGTCCTTTGAAATTGTGAAGAGAGTCTGGGTTTATCAGACAACACAACGGCTAGGCCCGTCAAAAACTCATCATTACCCATTTCCCTCCGTCAGTCGGGCCGTCTCTGAATCAACTTGCTCAGGCCCCAAGCAACTCATTCCTCTATACACCTCTGTCATAAGGCAGCCATGTTGTGTTTCTTCATTCACACCAATGTAACCAGGCTGAAAGGGAAAATAGTCGGTTCCCTTTTATCAATATGTGAACTTGTATTACTATTGCCGATGGTCCTACAGGGAACAAGACAAACATGGCAGCATTGTGATGAAGGTCTACTACCCCGAGCCAGTGGCTTCCATAAGTACACATGTTACCTTTTGTTGCAGCTATAAATATTGGACACACGGTTAGTTCATCAGTAATTTCCTTGATTTTTTTTTGGGTGCAGGTGCCCCTTGATCGAGGCCTGCAGCTGACCATAGACTATTTCCGCAATGAGCTGGAGCATGCAGCCAAGATGAAGGTGCCGGGGAAACCAGTGGAATAAATCCAAAGATACGGCTCCAGGCCCACTGAATAGGAACGATTCATAATACCACCAAAACTTTCTTCAAAAGGCTTGATTAGTACTGTGAATTATCCCTATGCCCTGGATGTGATGTATTCATCAATGCTTTGTTATTCCAGCATCCATCTTGCACCAGCCAGTTTTTCAAAACCCTTTTTTTTACACACCCAGCGTTCGGGGCCTGCAGAGCACTCAATTTTGCTTTAAATGTAAAATTCCTTTGAGCAGCAAATAGGTTTAGCAGCAACAGAGTAGTATCAAATATTACACAGTATGCGCAGTACACATATTTGCCAAGTGCAGAAAAGAACTGCTCAATAGATAAAGGACCACTGGCCAAAGAACAGTGTAGACTTTGTTCATTGCAAGTAAGGAGCCAATTTCATAGAGGTAAACAGCAGGAAATCTTGCTCAGCAAATATGTGATCCAACCTAACAGAACGAGTCACAAGTCACCAGAGCAACTCATGAGTGGAAGGTCTTTGAGAGAATCTTGCACCTTGTGATTCAATCCGCCCTGAGCTGAAGTGCACCCTCGCCGGCAAAATAAAGAAAACCTGGTATGAAGTTTTCCAACCGGGTTCTTGCAAGCATTCGGAAACCATAAATTTGTGGTATGTTCCTCGGTGTGGCCCATGCCAAACGTGCATGAACGTGCACGCCTACGTGGTGAGTTCGTACCAACGAGCGGTCAATTTCATTTAAAAATCCACCCTCTTTTGTTCCCACTTGGAGCAGATATCAACGCTGAACATTTTCCCCCATGTATTTCCCATTATCATCAAGATGTCAAACTGGGTGGTACATAAAACAGAGAACTCATATTGCTCTTTCAAATGCAAAGTGTTGCCTTAAGACCCGTTTTGTGGGATCTGGTCACATTTATTTGCCAGGAAGAAATTAGCAGTCACGAGCCCTATACTCACCTGTACACTTTGGCTGGTAATCTGTTTTTGGTAAGCAGATATTTTCTTTGCTTAGCAAATTTCTGTATTTTGAAGCTCTTACATTGGCCCCTGGTTCTGAATAGATTGTAGACATGAACAGAATGTCGAGAGCCAGAGAAGTTTTGTTTAGCCAGATGTTTGTGTCGTAATTGAAACTACCTCAGTGATTACTGTCACAATATACATGTACTAGCAGGGGCGTAGTGACGGGGGGCATGAGGGGGTGTGGCACCCCCCTAATAAATTAATTCCAGTCAGCAAATGGAGCTTCGCTCGGCAAGTGAATCCGAAAGAAGTATGTAGACGATATATATTGACCATCGGCATTGCCCCTGAAGCACGAAATTTAACTTACCATGGATCACTCTGTGAATTGTACACGACATAAGGTTGTCAAACAAATTACCAGTCAGCAGATTGACTCTGGCACCCTCCCCCCCAAGAAAATGCCTTCACTATGGCACTGTGTAGTAGGTACCAAAGTCATGAATTCGGGGCAAAAGACGCATTGTCGTGTCAGTACAATAAGGTTTTTAATGAAAAATTGTACTAACAGGCCGTCACTGAAAAAACATTACTTTCAAACATGAAACCGGTAGAAAGCAATCCATGAAATTTTAGTATACTGGCTCCCAAAGTCTCCTGAAGACGGACAGAGTACACTGTTCAAAATGTCAAGTTATTCCCCAGTTCTTCTCAGAACCACACATACCCAAGAAAGAGATTGATCCATGGTGTAACCGCAATCGTTTTACTCAAATAGTTCTTTCACTATGAAAACCTTCACGTCTTATCTGGCTTCCAAAAGTAATTAAGCAAATACCATAGTCGAGAACATGCTCTGTTTCAATTGAAAAAAGATTTCTTTCATTCTCTAAAGAAGGCCCTGAGAGTATTTGCTGAAACCCGTGCAACTGCCTTAGGGACCTTTCATTACTGGACCGACAGAGTGTACTTTCATATTCGGACTGTGGGGATTTTCTTCACTTCCCTTGGAAGAAATAAGAATTGTCCAGAGCCTCAAAAAAAATGAAAATGTTTTGGTGATAATAGGGGTTTTCTCTTGTTTACATCACGTCCATGAGTGGCTGCTGAAACTATGGCTGGCTGTCATTACAAAAGTAAAAGAGTAATTTGTACAGTGTTAAAAATCCCTTGCAGCCATCAGAACACTAGATAATAATACACGTACTACTAAATGCTGAATGAAAATACCACCCTATTTAGAGTTAATGGGATGTCAAATCAGAAACCAACCAAAGGATGATTTTTCTGTGAACTTTGGCCACCCATACAAGTTGTAGGCAAACTGAGAGTGGTCTATACAAGAAACATGGTGTGGGACAAACCACCAAGGTAGTAATGAGACCTTGTTTTTAATGTACTCACTTTTAGTATTAAAGATGGAGTGGTTGCCACCAGCAGTTTTGTAAAGAATCTTTTGCCATTACCAGTTGGTGTATTTGTGCTTCATTACGTCCAGTTTGAGTTGATATACTATGACAAGTGATTTGCAATAATTGGTCATTTTATTAATGTATTCCTAATATATCTAACTCATGAGGCATGTCTTCTTGTGCAAAAGTCCACATTTCTGCTCTCAGTAAATAAGAGCACACTGTCTGATAAGTTTATCCGTTTATGAAAAGGGAATCGTGAAAAATATAACGCTGGCGTGTAATAGAAATATTTAGTACTTTGTAAATGTACTACAAATTAATATTTTTTGAATTTTGGTGCTTGATGATCCGCTTTTCAAAGGCCTCTGAAAATTTCTTTTCCTTTTTCTTGTCGGGATTCTTGTGTGAGAGAGGTCCACGTTTGACAACAGATTTAGTTACATTTGTTAACTTCTGGACAAGTGATTGCTTTTCTGTGCATGATTTGAATCTTTGCACTTGCATTTATTTCATATCAGATTGGTTTCATCAGACAACCATATGAAGTGGAACATAGCAAGGTCCTTGGGATTTCACAAATTATCTTATAATCAGTAACAGAAAAACAAAGAATTGGGACCGAAAACTTTCCTTGTTAGAGACACGACTTCATTTCAGTGCTTTTCTTATCCGTGTTTGCCGGACTGCAGATTTATGGTTTGTAAAACCGTATAGATTTTTCAGACTCATAAATTTCTTTTTCATGTAATTACCTCTGCTATTCTTGTTTTCTTCTTTATTTTTTTTTAATTTTTAGCAAAAGAATCTCCTGAGGTTTGGCCAAAATTGCTTTTTCCATGAAGCAATCACAAAGCATTTGTACAAATTGGATATTCACATTTTTTTTCTGTATATATCTGCACCGATAACTGTAAAAATTCTGTTTTCACCCTGTTTATTATTTCATGGCAAATCACATTTTTGGGTCTGGGTTTTTGATCGGCTAAATTTCATTTTCCTGTCTTTGTTAAAAGCAATATTTTATTTGCATTCTTTGCATAATGATGCTGTTTTTAATTGCTTAAGTTGATAGTTAATCCAAAGTAAGTCTAACGTTGATTTTTGTAAGAATGAACCACAACTTTGACATCTTAAAGCAGCAAATTTGATTAAAATTGTTTGCAGAACTAAGTGACCTTAATTGCAGGAAAAAAAATGTTTCTTTTTTCACTGGTAATTTTATAAAACTTTTTTTACCTTATCAGTGTAGTAGGATTATTTTACAATCAGATGGCACTAAATTAGTAGGTGAACTGAATGGTAATGTCAAAAAAGATATTTCGCAAATACATGAAAAGTAATTAATATTCTACGATGAAAAATAAAATAGTCTCCAATGAAAAATATAGTATCAGTGGACAAGTTTCTTAGTAATGTAATTGTTTTTGTCATTATAAACAACCTTGCAGGGGGTGTCTTTGAGTCACCTTATTTGTCATGGCGCGACCATCGCGCGCCGGGCGTGATGTGGTGGTTGGGAAATCAACGGACCGGAATGCATGCCCCAACATAGAAGTTTGGAGCTGCAGGCTCCGTTGGACAATGAGATCCCCGATGCTTGAAGTGAAAAGTCTAGTAGTTGTGCCTACTTTGCGCTTTTGTGGGAAACGGAAGCTTTTAACTAACTTAAACGGAACTCCTCCAGGTCTCAGCCGGAACCGACACACAGACGGTTCCCCTGGCTCTATGTTGGCCCCGCCCCCACAACGGCGCTACCTCGTTCTGTCACAGAGGTCTGGAACCCAGTCTCCTCCGATACTCCTACACACGTTCTTTCCCTTTTTTATCGTGTGCACACAGTACACAAGCGCGTTGTTCCGTTTGCCGGTGGCGCGATTGCAGCTCGATTTTTGCCTGAGGCCTGGATGTTTCTCTAAGAAGTAGTTAGAAGCCATGTAAACGTTTTCAAAAAGATTAGCCGAGAAAGGAGTAGAATAGGTGAGAATTTAGTTATTTCAAACTGTTAAGTATTTGCTGAAAGGAGCTCAGTTTCCCCTCCTTCCTCCATGGTTGTAATCATGGTAATGAGCAAAATTTACGGCCATGACCTGTCATACATGTCGTATGCTACTGCTAATGTCCTGTTTCCGGACAACAGCAGTCATTACATGCTGGCCTTACATTAGATATCATTGGCAGCCACGCAATGGGGGGGGGGTGGTTGTAAAAATAAGCAATTACAGTAGGCTTGGGGATGAAAAAGTTGATAGGATTAGTGTTTGCATAATACTGGGTCTGCCTGTCCAACCATAGTGCTCGCTCTATCATTCTCGTGGTCGAGATGACGTTATTGAGTATTGATTCTTCTCTCTGATTGGTCAATTGGTGGCTTTCCATATTTCACACACAAAACTCTAAGGGCAAAAATAGATAATAGTGTTAAATCTGTGGGGAAAATTATTCACTTATTGACTAAACTCTTAACTTTTATATCAAATGTGCCTGAAGTTTCACTATTTTAATGTGCTATACCTCCCACACTACGTCTTATTGCTAACACTGCAAGAGTGAGTAAAGGCATCATGGGAAGGAAAAAGAGGCAAACATTGCCCCTTTTCCCTTTCCACAATACCCGGGTAAAGGCATGTACATGTACCTTTCCACAGTTGTGCAAAATCAGCCATGCGGTATTAGCGATAAGGCTTATAAGTTATATCACACCAAAAAGGTCTCGGTTATTTTTATCATGTCGCAGCAAAAATGAGGAAAACATGCAAATCCCTGAGAGTTATTGACAGCTTAATTGCACTCAATGTGTCCCGGCGTACCACAAAGTATGTATTTGGGTTTAACATTGGGTCACAGGTCTTTGAAGATCTGGTTTGTGGGAGTTTTGTTTCAGCGAGCAGTGAGGATTTTTATCTTGTTGCCCATTGAGTCTATTCCTTGCATTCTGCATGCACCTCATTGATAATGCACACTGAGCTATGTAAACATCAAGGTACCATAGGCTATGATGGCTATCGTAAAGTGCTGGTTAAAAGTTAAGCAGAAATGGTGCATTAAAGTTTTGCAAAATGTTTATCAAATCAAACACATAATTCAATGTTAGGGATTAAAGCCTAGTTTCCATATCGACGTAAGAAATGCATAGAGAAACACAATCAAAACGCAAACTGCAACACAGACATATGGAAACATGTCAAACGGAAGTATCGCCGATAACCCAAAGTTGAGCCCTGTTCAGTTTTGCTGACTGCCTGCTGAGTAGGCCCATGCAAACAAGCATACCAGCATGACGGGCGTACAGTGATGTTTCTCTCGCTTAGTACCACGCGTTTTCACTATCACTCGCCAGTGTACGCACGTACGTACAATACTATCGCATGTGAGCCCCTTGTTTGCGGGGGGTTTTTTGTATCAAAATCATACATGTAGCTGTGAAACTTTTTCCAAAACTTGGCTTAGTACATGCAGCTGTGGGATTTAACTTAGCTGAGGAAAGCCTACAAGAGTTCACAATTTTAGGGTTCATTTCAGATTCCACTCTTGAAATATCCCCTCCCCTTTCTTCCCACGTCTCATTTAACCAGGAATGATCTGAAACATCCACTGAAAGTAGCAGCCGGCCATGGCACTTCGCATTGCTGTGGTAGACTTCACGCCCATGAAGAGCTGCTTCATTAGTCTGCCGGTGACCTGGGGTCAGGAGTTTCAGAGGAAGCAGGTGAGCCACCTGGAATCATTTACCACGTGGTGTTAGGTTCTTCAGTGACTACATGGTGTCAACACTGAGATAGAGCACCATGGTAGATGTGGTGTTCCTTTTGTGAGGTTCAGTCTTGCCTTGCCACAGGCTTAGTGCTTAGTCTGGACAAAAAATCGGACAGAGGTCACATTTCATAATATAGTAATTTTTGAGAGAACTGAGTGCGCTGCTTGAAATGCCGGAAAACTTGAAAAGTCTTCAAATTTCATTTGAGGGATTTCGTTCCAAAGTGAGATGTACATCATTGAAATACTGAGCAATGTTTCCACCATTGTTACATACATGTATCTAAGAACAAAAAAGAGTGTACCGGGTCTCCCTAAATGTTATTTCTCACTGTTCTAACTCACTGAGTTGTTTGTTACTTAGTAAAACTCGTAGAAACTGGCTAGAGGCAACCTCAAGGTGAAATTCAGAGAAAGACCAAAATGACGCTTACGTTGTTTTAAAAATAAACTCTTGACTTCTTGTCAACCCTACCAATCTGCTTGACACTTCCTGAATTTTGCTTCAGCACGGAATTCACCCCTTGGTGAAGACTGACTCTATTTGTAAATGTTTGGTCACATCGTTTGTCTTTTCACAGAGCTATATATTTGAGCTGCAGTGGGGGGACAGGGGCAGGGCCTATGTCTCCTGGGCCGGAGATACCGTCCGGCTGCCAGAGGGTCATGCCGACAGGACGCCCATGATTCAAATCAACGGTCTCTATGGCAACAAGCTGGGTCTTTGCCATGGGGAAGAGGTAAAACTATGTGACAGTTGTGAAAGCTCTTTCTCTGATAATTGCTGAAATCCTTGTAGTTCAGACTTTCAGGTAGGGCTATGCCGAATATTTGGTCGAGTATTGAATGTTCCAGTATTATTTTCCGAAATTGAATATTCGAATGCAAAATTCATGAAAAGGAAGGTAGATTTTTGGAGGGTTTTAAATGAAAAACATTCTAGCGTGGAGGCCTGTTTCAAGCAGATTCTAATGAAAAGGGACAGAAATTTTACGATTCTAAAAGTAAACTATTCATTAAAAATTTAACAGGAATGAAACTTTTCAACAGGACAGTATCATTAAGAAGTATTATTTGTCTCTTAAATCTTGCTAAATCATGGCTGGAGATACACCTAGACGTAGGAAACTATTACAGTGATTATGATGTACGATGGTGTTCGTTATTGTAACTGATTTTGTATATGGTTTGTTCATCAACAATCTGCCGGTCGGTATGACCTGATATTTGGATATTTGATCTATTGAAGGTTGAATATCTTATATTATAAATATGTTATATTTCGGGGTTGATATTTTGGGAGTAGTAACGGTGCATTATGGAGAAAGTTCAAGTGCAAACCATAATTGAACTAGGGGCCAGTTGCTGCTTACCTGTGCCCACACGCAGTGCATCCAACCCAAGCAACCCCAGTTTTAATCACCTGTCATGCCTGTAGTTTGCACAGTCTGACTGGCTGTGACTTGTTGGCTGCAATTCCTGTTCAGTTCATGGTCTCTGCAATCTTAGACAGTCACAGTTACACACGTATAGTTTCACTGCGTACTTATTACAAAAAAGACTGCATCAATAACCAGCAATGCAGCCATGCCCCAGGTTTTTTCTCGAAATGGTGGGCTACATGTATATGTAGATAGACCGACCATCTTGTTAGGGCAACATTGGTACACTACGGTATGTACAAAGTCCAGTACATACATGTACATGGAGTTTGTTGCTTAAACTGACCTAGATGCCTGTACATGTACATTCATCCATATGTACCTGCATGTGCAAACACAAATGGAATGATGAATGGAGTTTCACATTTGCAAACGTATTGTGCCCACATATTACACTCCAATGATTTTTAACCAGGGACCTCAATACTTTCCCCCAGGTTCCTGTGCATCGATAGACGTTAATATTTTTGTTGTCTTTTTTTTCCAAAACTGGCATTGGGTGCATCTGTCGATTTTCTCACCGTCCTTTGTATATGGAGACCTCGACGCTGTAACAGGTGTTTTGTTATGCTGAATGGTATTTGCAGTGTGTAGTGTTGAGTGCTCAGTTTTTATTAATTGGTCCCGTTTGGTGGTTGAAGGAAGCACTTATGGATGTTGATGCACCATACGGTAGGCGAGGAATGCTTCACTTTTGGTTAATTCCAGAAATTAGGGTCCAAAAGTGTGACATTTTTGTGTCCCTGTTACATGTACATCTAACCATTGTTATTTGACATGGAAATATCACCAGAATTTATTTCAAACTATAATTGGGTAATTGTAAAAATTAGGAGTCCATTTTTGTTTCTTGTCCCCGTCACGTCTGACATATGATTTTGTATTAAAGTTCAGAACACATTTTCTAATTTCTAAGAGTGATGAATTAATGCAAATTACCGGCCAATTCCGGTGATATTTCCATGTCAAATAACAAAGATCAGATGTAACAGGCGCATGCCAATGTCACACTTTTGGACTCCTAATTTCTGGAATTACCCTACTTCTAGGGTGACAGGTAATTCTTGGAAATTAGAAAATGTGTTCTAAACTTCACAAAATGGAATGCCAGATGTGACAGGGACACGAAAAAAATGGACCCTTAATCTCTGGAATTAGCCATATTGTTGGGACTTCCAATTTTGAATGATGCCTTAGTAATCTTTCAATGTACACCGTACATGTAGATTTTTCCTAATAGATATAATTGCATGCCTGTCTACCTGTCCCAGAACATGTACCTGTCAATATTGCTAAATTTCGATAGCTACATACACATGTACCATACATGTACATGTGTGAGCACACAGACAACATACCGGGGAGATTCTGTCAACCGAGTTCCCTGTTTTTGTATAGGAAAACAAAACGAAGATCATCTGAAGATGTTGGTAGCCATGTTTGTAAATTATTGTTCAATGCGTTTTAATTTAATATGCGTTCATGTTCATGCACCGTACCTGTATGTGCCAAGGTTGCCCCTGCCTGTTCAACTGAGACGGCCCACCTCACTGACTTTATGACCACTCGGGCTTTTTTGTTGAATTTTACGACCTCACACTTAAAACAGACAAAGATGGGAGGAAACAGCAACACAACTTAGATAGTTTGAAAAAAGATCAGTTTTAGATCATTCAGAACGGTAAAGAAGGACACAAAATACAAGATTGATTTATTTTAGAGAGGAAATTTGGATTAACTGTATTATTATACTTTATAGATTTCATTTTAGGTTTTTTTTTGTTTTAGGTGCTAGAATTTGGAAGAAAGAATTGTTTGACCATCTTAAACATACATGTATCAGTACCCAAGGGGAAACCTGGTACGCGCACAATTGTGCAACATGAATCATCCCTCTGCTGTACAGTATGGATGAGTGATTCAGACTCATGATGAGCGGATTCCAGGAAAGCGCTTCAATAACAGAAACTATTGTTCAAAATATTGTACCAAGTAACTGACCCTTGCCCCCATTATTTTGTAGTAATAGCTAGTTTATCACTCCCTAATAATGTTGCATAACCAGAAGTTGTTCTGTAATTTGCTTGTGGGCGTTTGACAGATTTTACTTCAGCCGGTGCCAAAGGTCCACTCCTGCAGCAGGGTCAGCGTGGAGCCTGCCACATCTGATGATTGGGAGATACTGGTGAGTGGTGGGACTCTAGACGTACATGTATATTTTATGGGCATTTTATGGAGGGGGTCAGGGTTTTGCGTGGCAAAATGAAGATGTGCGGTCAACAAAAACATGATTGGAAATCCAGCTTGAAGGAGTTATCATTGCGGGAGAAAAGTGAGCATTTTCACTGAGTTTCTTAACTGCAGAAAACAAAGGAATGTTCACTCAAGGTACCGATAGGTACATTGTAAAACAAGTGTATACGAGTAGGCCTTCCCCGCATTAAGTGGAGAATTCCTTGATTAGGAAAGTCAGTACCCAATAATGGGGGGCAAAAATTTTTGCGTCCATAATGTTTGGGTCCCCCCTGAAATTTTCTGTTTTTAACGTGTGTATTCCTACAACTATGGAACAAGTACATGTATGTATGTGTGAGTAGGCCATCCCCACGTTAAAGTGACAGGTGTCTTTGGAAAGTTGGAAATTTGTCCCCACAACGTTTTTGGTCCCTTTTACCTCTATATTTCAACAACTGTGCAGTCTCCATATTAACTCTAACAGTCCTCAATCCTTCACCTGTTGGAGGACTGAGGACAGTTAGGGTTAAATGATAACAAGTATGGGTGTGCAGCCCAGTGTGTAAGTGCCTTCAATCGTGGACCTATAACAATAGGAGACAATAGGGTCCACGGTTACCGAAGAGTCCACGGTTGGAAAACGTGTACAAAACATATGGGAGGTCTTCCGAAAAAGTTAAAGTATGAACAAAAGAGGAACAATAGGGAGTCCACGATTGAAGGCATTTACACACTTGTGTGTGTGAATGCTCGTACACATGGCAAACTACCTGCGCAGCATTTACACACAAAGAGTTACCAATATTGGAACCGTTAATTTGCAGGAGCTGAACACCGGCTATGTGGAGTCGAACCTATTGAACCAAGTCCGAATCGTCTGGACCGGTCAAATCCTTCCCATCTGGATTGAGAAGAAAATCTGCATATTCATCCGAATCGGTAAGATGACTACACTGATTATTGGCTTCTTTCTTGCGAGCGCAGATAAAGTGCTTGTGGCTGAAATTTTCACCAGAAGTCCCAGGCTGCGGTTCTTGGAGATGTTGGCATGAGTAGGAGGGGTCGTGGGTTCGAGTCCCATCTGAGATCTCTTTGTGATTTTTATCTTTCCATGCCTGTAAGCACAGAGCGTATTGTACTTTATCACATTACATCAACAAGAGGATGAAATCTATCTTTGAAGAAATTCTTTTACAAATGGAATATCGCGGCAATTTTTATGTGCTCTCATTTTTTGTTTGGTTGCTCGACTGTAAATAGGTGCCACAGATCCGCCTGCATCCTGTGTCCAGTTGGAACCAAACACTGAACTCATCGTTGCACCCAAGTCTCGCCGCAACCAAGCGCCCGCCGCAACCCCCGTCACAAACGCAACCCCTCACCCGAATCAGTTGACGGGAAATCCTGACAGGGAACACTCCGAGAGACGCCTGGACACATCGCTCCCCAGCAGCTCCAGCATGGGCTCCATCATAGGCAGCGTGCTGTCTGGCTTCACCAGCGACTACGACTCAGCGACGAGCCCAAGCGACACCACATTCTCCACGGCCCGGCTGACGGATGCCAGCTCCAGTGCGACCACTCCGAGCGAACCCTGGGACATTCCCACAGAAGTGCTGGACAAATCAATACCCTGGTCGTACCGGTTCTGGCGTCGGATACGATCTGTCTTTGTGAGTGACGAGGCCGAACACATCTCCAAGATGGCGGGCGGAGACATGGAGGAGGCCCGTCGCAAGATGGCCGCCGAGTTTTGGAAGGACGTGAGGATCATTGCGCGTGTTCAGCCAATGTTCGAACATCGAGAAAGCTCAGTCTCCCGAGTCTCATCTTACTCAGGTTTGCTAAAGTCACAAGACCCTAAGCAGATTCCAACCTCCAAAAGGCATCATATACATGTAGCTCCAAGCAGCGCTGTGCCTGCAAGGCAGACGAGACCTATGGATTCGCCAGACTGTCCAAGTCTGTCCCCTGACACCCCTCGCGATTCCTTCACAGGCTCCTCCTACACGCACCTCATGCAGCCCACCACGGTCTACCTGAGCTCCAACTGCGAGACGGAGTTTGTCCGGCACCACGACTCCAACACAGACGAGCACCAGTGCCCCGTCAATGAGTTTGTGACCTTCGTGGCCAACCTGGCCAAGCTGCCCTCCCCCCGGGAGAAGAAAGAAGAGGTCAACCGCAAGTTCCAGCAGACGCAGAGCAAGTACGAGAAGGCCATACGGGAAGTGATGGAGCAGCAGAAACACCCACAGATGAACACCACCACCCCGACAGCCAAAGACGCCGCTGCGAAAGGCGAAGACTCCAGCCCGTCCTGCGTAGTGCGGGTCATCATCCACAGCAACGAGCTCAGGCAACACCAGAATGGCCAGTCAGAGAACGTCTACTCTTCCAACACCTTCCAGAAGCAGGACATCACCTGGTTCATCCAGATCCCCGACCTGCTGCGTCGGCAGTTGGGGCTAGAGTCATCCGCTAAAGTAGAACTGCGACCGGTACTCATCCCGCCAGTGCCCATCCACAGCATTTCACTTTTCCCGCTGTTTGACAAGGTGCAGTGTTACTTGAAACATTAATTGGCTAAGATTTAAGACAAGGAGAAGGAGGAAGAAAATTTTGTCAGGAAAATAGCAACTGAAGAATGCTACCCGTACATAGCTCCATTTCGTTATATCCATCAACGTCAAACTTATATAAGGAATCCCAAAGCTATATTTAGATACGACTATTTGTCAAATGTTGGTATGTTAACTGGCTGTAAAATTGTGGTTACTGGGTTTTTTGTTTTGTTTTAGAGGGTCTTTTGTGGTTGGTGACCACTTTGATCAACACATTTGGTCTTCAGACTTGAAATTTTGCCGAAGTTTATCACAGCTAGTTCCAATTAAGTTGCAAATATTTGCAAAGCTGTGTTACGATATTTTTCCCTCTTTTTTTACAATTTCTCGGTATCCAGACACCCACTATTTATGATTTACAGATAAACAGCTCAAAGACTAGCCATTACTGCACAGTCCAAACCTCCATCCTTTTGTGATGGCGCAGAGAAATTAGAATGGGAACAAGGACAGGAAGCTGGCAGCAACAATCCTGCATATTTTCTTTTCACTCTTTACAGCCCTCAGATTTGACAGTGGAGGACCTAGTGTTTGCGTTTGAGTACTGGGTGACTTGCGTGAGCTGCATGATTTCCCCCATACCCATCCGACAGCACGGAACACTCCTGAGATTTCCCATTTCAAGAACTGGAGGTTGGTGTCAGACTCTTAACGGGATTTTTCTCTCTCTCTGGAATAGTTTGGTTTTTTTTAGATGTTTTTGCTGGTTTGGTGTCTGTAAAAACCAATGTAAGGGGAAAAATCAGACAAACACATTGTACATGTGTTATTGGCTCCATGCGCCAAAATGTGCCGTGGTCTGCCTTTGGGGCTTCACATTAATGTGACCCGCTCTGCAGCCTAGGGTAATAAGTTGCACAATGCCAAAACATGCGATGGCCTGTGCTACTTGGAGAGGGCAAAAATTATTCAAAAAGGTGATTTTTTTGTTTTTTTCTTTAATATTTTTTATAATGTTTACATTTTCAGAATTTGTGACTACAAATATGGATACTGGTGAATAAAGATGAAAAAGTTATCGTTCAGTAGGAAATCCTATTTATGTTTCCAAGCGCTACACTTCATGAGCTTTTTCTCGAAAACAAACAAATACATAAACATACAAATGTCCATATATCTCCAGAATGCAGCGCATTACAGGGGTCATTCATAAATCAAGTTGTAGCTTTTGATGTACACAATCCAGCCATATCAAAAACTCATCACCTGAATCTGGCAACCTATTACCCAATTTCTAGAGCTGGTCACGTTTTTCGAATCTCATCAGACTCTGAAACCACTTTTTGAGGCCTGTAATGTTTCAGTAATTGAAAATACCTCCGTGTTTGGGATTGATAACCCATGCCTTACTATTTTCACCACCAAAAGATGACTTTATATTGAGATAAAAAACTCCGGAGTTGGGAGTGCAAATATAAAGCAAAGCCCTAGGCCGTGGCCGAATTGCCCAGCAGTGGCTTGACATTATACTCAAGTCTATGGGGAATGGCTGCAGCCACGACCATAGACTCATGCATAATCTTAAGCCATAGTCAAGTAATTCGGACGCGGCCAACCACTGGACATAGATAGCCCAGAACTGTAAAACATCCCTCATGTGCCTGCTACTTTGTGCACCATAGAATATGCATATATCGATACATTTGAGAAGTTGTAATCGTCTCCATGCAAGACGCTAGTGGAGATTCCTTCATCAACGTTTTCTTCACATTTCAGATTTGCATGGAGAGTTTCTCATCTCCATCAACGAGCAGGACAGGCTCGCCCCCTCGTCTTCCTTCCCCTCTTCACCCGACGACCCTGCCCCGCCCTATTACCTCCTCCATCCCCTAGTCGCTAAGAGATGTCGAGCCGTTATTCGGGACAAGATCACCTCGACCAGCAAGCCAGCGTTCATACCCAGGATGCCCTCCTTGGATGTAGCCCATCTGGACAACAAAGTAGGCGGTTACAGGCTGCGAGACCTTGGGTAAGCCCCCTCCCCCTCGAACGGTAGAATGATTACCACAGGTACGTGTATTGATCACCAACGTCAGCCATATGTGTTAACTCTGTAACTTAAGATGTCATGGTGAGTTTGTCGACCCCCCTTGTAGCGCATCTGTCAATTTGTCCAAATGCCAAAAAAAAACCACACCCCCGCTTCATGAATAGACCCAATTACGCTCCGAAAAATGCAGTCGAGGGAAAGCTGTGTGACTTTTTGCGTAGCCATCATTGTAACGTTTTAACGAGCATTACTCAGAATAGAGGCTTAAAATCCTTCAAGGAACTGGCCTCTGTACTGATGACGCCACTCTTTGTTTGCATGTGCATTTTTCTGTAGAGCCAGTGGGAGCCCACGCTCCACTGAGCACTGTGGGAAAGCATTTATGTACACAGAGCGACCTATTTATCCAGTTCATCTTAACACGCTTGACATTTCACCTGTGTCTGCAAATTTGGCTGTTTAATTTCCAGGGGAGTTACGGGTTTGGGCCAACAGGCCATCGACTACCTCAGCGCGGCGCTGATGACGCGGCCAATCAGCCGCTGCCTGGGCGAGTCCCTGCTGGGCTTCCTGCAAGGCGGCCTGCTGGTCTGCGGCCCCCGGGGCAGTGGCAAGAGCGCCCTCTGCCGCTCGGTCTGCCGGGAGATGGTGCAGTGGCCCAGCCTGGCGCACGTCAGCGTGGTAGAGTGCAAGCCCTTGAAAGGTGAGGGCAGAAGAGTTGCAGTCGAGTACTTCAGATCACTGCATGAGTAATCATGAGTAAAGTCCTTTGGTATTGTCCACTCACTGTTCCATCTCAAAATACGGTATTCGCGAAGCACTCGACTACATGTACCGCTCTAGATTATGTTTGGTAACTATCATATACGTGTAGCCAGTGCTTAGCAGAGTCGTCTCGAGTCCGTTTCAAGTTGAGTTGCCAAATATTGAGCTGGCACTGTTTTAACTACTTCTGGACTGAAGCCTTTGCTCCAAAATTTTGACTTTCAATACAAGGCAAGATCCAGCAGCCGAGTTTTGACACTCAGCGAAAGGCCACAAATACTGACTCACGAGTGTGGCTGGACTCATATTTTCACAGTACTTCTTGCCCGAACCTCGTATTTGGGGCACTATCGCGGAGCAATATTTGCCACCATGGCAGGCCATGACAGGCTTCTCAGACTGGGTGCGTGTTTGTGTGTACAAAGTAAAATGGGATATTGGCATGTGTACGCAGCCACTAGGGCTGACTCAAGGCCATGCATGGTCAGTTGTCCTTGTGCATGCAGACTGTCGGATTAGGGTTACATATCCACCGGCAGTTTTATGGTTGAGTTCATTGCCAAATGCTCAAATGGTTAGGTGCGAACAAACCAGAGGACATGGGCATTGATTGGTACGTGCACACAGGTAAAAATAAAAGGATTAATGATTGATGATTGAAAATGAAGTTTTTTGAACAAACTTACTTAGAGAAACTCAGACAAATACTTTTCAAGTACTTTTCTCTTTTACAAAACTGGAGGGTCTTAAGCCTTAAACTATTTTATGATCTTACCTGTATCAATGTACCATCCACTCTCCAGCATTGTTCACACCTAGCCAGTAATTGGCCATGAACTCAGCACTCGGAAAGTACTCAAACTGCATTACTGTGCTCCGACGCGAACTACATGTAGGTATAAACTAGTCCTTTCCAAGTCCCATATGTCAAATATTCAATTGAAGTGATGTTCACCTCGCAGGGAAAAGAATCGAGACGATCCGCAAGATCTGGGAGGAGGCCGTGAATGAGGCCGCCTGGCGACAGCCTTCCATCATCCTATTGGATGACATGGATCACGTGACCGCCTCGCCGTTGGGACCAGAGCAGGAGATAGGCCAGGAGGCGGTGTACCACACCCGCTTAGCTGACGGTAAGTGAAAAATAACATCTGCATTTAGTTTCCACTTTAAAAACGAAAGAAAAATTGTTATTTCCAAGGATGGATTTGTGCCGGGGAAATGTTTATTAATTTTAGATTTTTGCCCTGCCCGACGTGTGTTATCTCACTGTATACTCAGTGTTTGCCCCCGGAAGGCTTGTGAAAAAACCACAAGCGTAGTCGGGTGGGACTCGAACCCACGGCTTCTTGCCTACAAGTGCAGAGGTCTTAACCACTCGACCACCGAGCTTGCCGGTGTCAGCTGGCTGGTTCGAGCTTTGGAGTTTTGGCTTTGGAATATTATTGGGTCAAGCTGTTTTTCCTACGGACAAGGGTGGTTTGATTAACCAAATTAAAGGGAACGAAAGAAAGAGTCATTGGGGATCGCCTGTTTTTATTCCCTCACAGTCTTGAAAGACATTATGATGGCCGAGGTGAAAGAGGGATCACGGGTCTGCATTGTAGCCACCACAAGGTCAAAGGGCAGTCTCCACCAATCACTGACCAGTTCAAGAGGCTGCCACCTGTTCCAGTGCTGTTTGGAAATTCCCTCCTTGAGCAAGGTGAAAAGATAATATTGTGAAAGCCATGTCCAAAATGGACATTGATGGCTGCGGCCGTGGCTATTCTGCATTGCTTGCTAATGGTAAAATCAAAGCCATAGCCGCGAAATGGCTCATTTCAAAGTAGCTTTATCCTGATTTGAACCAATTGCCGCCGGGGTTCCTGGTACTGGAGACCTTGGCCTTATATTCAAAATCTGAACTTTGGAACTGGGCCTTATATTCATGGCCAGGGTGCCCAAAATCTGAACTTTGGAACTGGGCCATTATTCGTGGCCAGGGTGACCAAACTTGGAAAATACAAAAGACCGAGCTGCTGGGACCTGCCGATCAAGGTGCATATGCTGTCAGCGCAGAGTGCTGGCATTAGCCGAGGTAATCCGTCATTGTTTTGAAACAGTACCATTGTTTGCCACTGCCAGCGCCCACAGATTATCAACGGGGACAAAAGCACTCCAGCGATGAGCAATTCAAAGAGGAAATTACGCAACACCGCACAATGGGGGCTCTTTACTGGGTAAAGTATAACTTGACGTTTCGAACAGTATCCTCTGAAGACGGACAGAGTAGACTGTCCGAAGCGTCGAGTTATTCCCCGGTTCTTCTCAGAACCGTTATACTCAAGAAAGAGATTGATACATGGTGCAACCGCAATCGTTTTACTCGTCTAGTCCTGGAAATGTCATGGAAATCAAGATCATGCAAGTGCTACTTGGGATGGGCCACTTTTGATCTGATAACGAAATAATCAGAAATTTACAGGCTTCCTTGTCAATCTACGTAGTGACTGCAGCAGTCTTTGACTTTAAGATACCAACATTATTTAATGAAAAAGCTGTCTATGAATAACTCAAAGTCAGTACTTCCAGTTGGGAAACCTACCTCTCAGATGGCCTTATAAATGCTAGATCTGAACTAGGAAAAGGAAGAATTCTAATTCTGGATAGGGTCCTTAACTGGGTCCTGAATCCCTTAGAATTGGTTTGATCATCACTATTTAAATACTTTCACCAGTCCAACTAAGTTTAAAATTTAGAGCCTGGAGACCACTGTGTTCATGGATGATTTGTCATTAGATATACACAGGTTGAATTGCTTGAGTTCAACATGACTGGGTGGTTGCGAATTTTGACAGCGAGATTGAAGATAGGGTCCGAGTTTCAAACTGATTTCAATTCTTCAGTCCCAACGTGTAGAGGTCCTCAACTCTGCCATCCAGTCCAAAGTCGAGATTGACCTACGGACGTTTGACCAGATTGACTCTGACAAGCTGGCCGCACGGATGGAGGGCTACGTGGCCCGAGACATAGTGACTGTGGTGGAAAGGGCCATCCACGCTGGCTGCTGCAGGGAGCTGGTGGAAGGCAGACCTGTCCTGCCCATAGAACCAGTGAAGCAAGGTGAGGCTTTGAAGCCACAGGCATCAATATTCTTCAAGCACTTGACCACTTCACACTAGATGACATTTACAAGGCATTTTCTACAGGCCGTAACACAGAGGACATTTAAAACACCATACGTAGTTCCCCTTCATCAAACATGTGCCCAGGCTTCAGTGATTCACATTGAGTTTGTACATAACGCTGAAGCTCAAACCTATCTGCGGTTGTTGAGTGTACACTATTGATATCATTGACAACTCACGGTACCCAGTGCTGCATTGGATTGTAGTCAACCGCCCTATCCCGACAAACTCGGTGGTCGACTAACAAGCCGGACGTCTTTGGTTCACATCCCACCTGAGCAAATAGGGGTTTCTTAGTAACTCTGGGACCACTGAGGGTAGAGGGTGAATATACGGATCTATGTACTGGGCAAAACCTAGTATAAAAGATGCAAATCATATTGGTATGCTCTGTTGTTTTTCCGCTATTATAAAGAACCAGTTTTCATTGGTATTTCTCTTTGGTAAATTAACTTGAAATTGACTTGAATTTTGTATGACACATCATTGCAGGCTTTTGAAAATTTCCCCCATCTCACTTCTTGTGCTGTTCAACCCAGGCAAAGATTCCGTCGGCAACGCAGACGAGATTCTCCTGCTGCAGGAAGACTTTGAGGCCGCCCTGCACGACTACACGCCGGCCACGCTCCGGGACGTTCCACTGCACAGCGCGGGGGAGCTGGGCTGGCAGGACGTGGGCGGGCTGAGGGATGTGAAGGAGTCGTTGCTGGAGACACTGCAACTGCCGGCCAAGGTGAGCCGAGTCCAGAATGCCGAGTGAGAATGCATTAAAATTCAAAGGCCACCATCTTTCTCACATCACTTCTTTTTAACCGTCTCACACCCAGTATCCGTCGTTGTTTGCCAATTGCCCCCTGCGTCTGCGGTCGGGGCTGCTGCTGTACGGCCCACCAGGCACAGGCAAGACACTGCTCGGGGGTGTGGTGGCCAAAGAATGCGGTCTCAACTTCATCAGCATCAAGGTGGGAGTTCTCTCGTTTGAAAAATCAAAGTTGCAACATGCAGAATATTAGACAGTCAGTGCTGTACGTACTAATAATGAAAGTTAATGTTCTGTAATCTTATCTCCACAAAGTCAGGTTTACAAAACATGAGCCCCCAAGGCCCCCAGGGGAGAACGGTTTATTATTAGCTGACAGGCACACTTGGTTACGAAATGAGACACTTTGTGGCATCGCTTCGGGTTTAAGAGAGAAAGGCTAAAGTGGTCTTTGTGAAGAAAGTACCCTTGTCACTAAGAGCAAGAAGAAAGGGTCAGTGGTGACTGGTGCAAAGACCCTGTATGTCTGCCCACTTTCAGATACAAACATTTTCTGTGCTTTGTGTGAATTGTATGTGGGTAACTCCAGAAATTAGGGGTCCAAAAGTGCGCCATTTTTGTGTCCCTGTTACACCTGACCTTTGTTATTTGACATGGAAGTATCACTGGAATTGATTTCAAACTATTACTATTTTTTTTGGCAGGTAATTTGCATTAATTCATCACTCTTGGAAATTAGAAAATGTGTTCTGAACTTACAAAATCATGTCAGATGTGATAGAGACATGAAAAAAATGACCCCTACTTTCTACAGTGGGCTCATATTCCTCGAGCTCTCGTTTGTCAAGTGTGTAGAAACAGCGCCTTTGTGTCCCGCTTTGTCCTGGTAGGGCCCAGAGCTACTGAGCAAATACATCGGAGCCAGCGAGCAGGCTGTCCGCGACCTCTTCGACAGGGCTCAGAGCGCACGACCCTGCATCCTCTTCTTCGACGAGTTTGACTCGCTGGCCCCGAGGTAGGACATCTCCGATAGGCCTTACCCCATTTCTTTCCAGATTTCATTCCTGTGAATTTATGTCCAACATGGTAATGTTCCGCCAGTGGTGGTGCTGTGAAAAGTCGGAATCTGGCAGCTTTACAATGCTTTGTACAGTGTGGCTCTCTGAAGGACTTGAACTTTCTGCCCTGATATTTTGTTGCAGGCGAGGGCACGATAGCACTGGTGTTACCGACAGGGTCGTGAACCAGCTACTCACCCAATTGGACGGCGTGGAAGGGTTACAAGGTAGCAGAAAACGATGACAGAACTACCCACTCCTAACACTGTCTGAGGACCGACACATTAGAAATGACTGTCATAGTACAATAGACACAAACAGAAACAAAAGGCTAGGCAAGGACACTGAAGTGTCATTTAATGCCATCGTGCACCCACCCCCCCCCCGTGCCCCTGCCTCAACCCATCTCTTGGCCATACAGCATCCACTTCGATCTGTACATTGTGTCCTGTACTGACTGCCATCATTTTCAGCCATAAATATAATCAGTAGCAGCACCTCCCAAGATGACGAACTCCCAAAATGTGATAATTTCAGGTGTATAGCTTTCATTGAAGAATGCCACTTTGTGTTTGTTGTTCTGTGAAACACTTGCATTTGAAGAAGTCACAAACTTCTGTCATTGGACCTAACTGAGGTCATGCAAAATTAAATGATTACTGAAACTCTTCTGGATCATTTGAACTTCAGATCAGTCTCAGGAAATCATATCGACAAGCATGTCTCGAGGAGTGGGAGAAAGATTGATCATTCTTTTGGTATTGGTTGAACGTAGTTTTATTGAGTGGATTGTCCATTATAGATTGTCTTCATTTCTTTTGTGTGTGTGTGTTTCAGGTGTGTACGTCATAGGCGCTACCAGCCGGCCAGATCTCATAGACCCAGCATTACTCAGGCCAGGGAGATTGGACAAGTGTCTTTTCTGTCCCATTCCATGCTCAGTAAGTGCCTCAAAATCTCCACTCTGTTTTCATGGATCCCTAGTTTTAGCCTTCTAGCAGTTTCTTTGAAAAGTTTAAGCACTTGTTATGCTCAGCGAACGGTTTAATATTCAGGATTCCTGAACATGAAATGGTAGTTGGCAATCAGTGCTGCAGTTGAGTTTGATTCCGTACGAGTACAAAAACCTACCTGAGTTTGAGTAATACTATGAGTATGCAACACCTCTGTAGTTGAGTATATAGGGAAAGAAGCACTTGAGCAGGGGGTGTGAGTCCGAGTACTGCAACACGTTGGGGTAGGTTCGAGTGGCTGCCATTCTTCAACAGCTGGTGAATTTTGCCTGGTATCCAGGATGCAGTTTGTGCGTAGGTTACAAGGGAAAATAGATCAGAGGTGGGCAAATGATCATTCTTTGAACTTGCCTGCAGTTGTAGTTGAGTATATTGTTGTGAGAGGGAGTATGAAAAAACCCACTCAAATATGACTATTCCAACATTGAGTGTTGTACTTGAGTATGAGTACTGAGTGAGTTTGAGTGTCAGTACTAAAGCACTAGAAACAGTTTACAACTTGAACAGTTTAACTGGCCTTTTTAAGTTTGGAGATGGGATTTAATTCCTTTTCTCTCTCTCACAACAGGAAGAGAGAGTGGAGATTTTACAGGCCTTGTCCCGCAAGATCCCCATGATGGATGACGTAGACCTGCGCTCAATTGCCCTCAAGTGTGAGCACTTCACAGGGGCTGACTTCAAGGCTCTCCTATACAATGCCCAGCTTGAGGCAATCCACGGCACACTGTCCTACCCAGAGCCCCAAGACGGAGAATACGATTTGACCCCCCTCACCTCAAAGCATTGCAGCATGGGGGCAGACGACTGGAAGCTGACGTTCCTGGAGAGCTTCTCGGCCGAGGGCGACAGCTATGACTTACCAGGGTCACCACGGCGACAGTCACGTCAGGAGAACGGTAATTCCGCCGTCCGTTTCGGCTCCCCACAGAAGGAGCGGTCCAACACAAACTCAGACTCCAGCACCAACTCGGAGTTTGTCCGTGTCGACTTGCAGGATGTGAACGGGAATGCCGGATCAGGGGAAGGGGGCTTCGATGTACCCGGCAGGAGGTCAGAGGTGAAGGGTCACAGTCCGTCCATGAGGCAGCTGGCCGCTGCAAAGCAAGGGAGGAGTCCTAGGCCGCACATCAGTGACATAATTGGTACTGGGTTGTCTGATTTCTTTACAGAGTCATCATCACTTGTCATGATCATCACTTTGGGGGCACTATTCCTGTCAACAAGGAATCTCTGTCTACTTCTTATTTGTCTTTAAAACTTCACGCGTTCCTTCAAGATGCCTGATAGGGGTGTGCATTACTGGGTATAAGAGAATCGATTATCTGAGTGAAATATCTTTATTAACATTCTCACAGTATAACCTTTAGCACTTTCCACTGCTGTCATTTATTTCATCAGCATCATTCCCGGGCTGTCGTCACCTTTTCTGTTGACTGTTCTTCATCAATGTCTACAGAGTTTTAACCCTTGCCTTACATCATCCTTCATATTACCTTCATTCTTGTCTTACTGCGCTTTTTTATGATTTCATAAACATTACAGGAATTTGCAGTCATACATCATAAAAAATTGGGACTTTACTTGATTTTGTCATGTACTTAACATAAAGCTATCTGTTTTCCTTAAAGGCGGTTTTGGAATTAAGGAAAGGTTTTTGGCAATGAAACCCCAAAATGGACCCAGGCAACTGCCAATCTCAGTCAGTTACCTGGAGTCCAGTTCTCACCCCCAGCATCACCACCAGCACACACACTCCACACGATCACATGATGAAAATCAGCCAATCACGTTTCTGATTCGTTGCCTACCTCCTCCCCCCCCCAGCAGATTCCATTGAGAACGAGGAGGTTCCAGGCCCCATGGAGGGGCCGCTAGATCCACTCTACAGGGCCTCGGGGCAGGGGGCAGACCAGCCGCAAGTCATCTACATGCCCACCCTGCGAGACGGGGTGGTGGACCCCAGCCGGGAGATGCAGGAGAATATCCAGTCACAGGCAAGTGTGGCGTGCAAATTGGCCACGGGGGTGTGGCTGGGACACCTGTGCCAGCAAGAATGTCTTGAATCGGCTCGAATTGGTTTAAGTGCCTAAACCCCTCTCTTCTGTCTGCTTTCAGGTTGCTGTTATCAAGCAGAGCTATCAACAGAGAACAAGCAGAAATCAGGTACATCGAACTGATGTCCATGCATATATTACAGCTATGTGTGTTTGCAACCACCTTTGGTGGTGAACGTTAAACATTAGCAGAGAGTATGGCCTGTGGCGATCTAGGGTCCGTGGTTAGCAATCCAGTACAAATCCTATATGAAACCTCCACAAAAAGGTTGAGGCAGGAACAGTAGGGCAATGGGAGGTCCAAGATTGAAGGTACATGCATGTGTGTGGTTAAATTTTTTTGGTACAACTGCAGTGCTGTTTCAAATTCCTTATATGTTTCTGTAGTCTTGAGTCAAGTCAAAAGCAACTCCAGTGTACTGTGCAACAGCATTTCTGCTGTGACTTTAGTGTTAATACCCCAATATCGGGCCTGTTTGTATTGATCTCTGTACCATAAACAGCTGATGAGGATGCCCATCGAAATATCTGGATGTAAAATTAAAATGCACCAGGGTGGCTCCTGGTCAGTTGGAGCAACTTCACGGAATCAGAAACGTTACTATCGTTGCCCCCTGATAATTGAGAATGCAGTAAATGGGTCATTTAATGGACGGATGTGCTGTCCGCTACCGATATTTTCTTATCTTGGCTTGGCTTTCCAATAGGGTTTCCATGACAATGGACCAAAACACACGGATGGCTCGTCAGTGATTCACATCAGCCAGTTGCATCTGCTGAGAGCAGCGGCCGACATGAAACCATCCGTCACCCCCAGCGAGAGGGCTAGATACCAAAGCATGTGAGTGGAGAGATAACTTGGTACTGAACAATGGTATATGGTTTCACACGTTTCCTAGAGAGTTATCGGGCTAAACCGCTGTTTATGCTGTATCAGTTGGGTATCCATACTCGGGCACATTCCTTTTACAGGGGCATTTGTACTCATTCACATGAAAATTGGTCACATGCTCCACGGGCCACTTTATTCATGAAGCAGTGTGTGCAGTCCGCTGCTTTCTCGTGCAGACTGTTTTTACGTGCAGTTTTTCCTTTAACCAAGGCATAGGATGTGTAGTCGTACTATCTAGCTGCTTGTCTGTGAATTGTGATTTGAGGCCAGCTGATTTATTCGTTCTATCCTCCCAGATATGACAACTTTGTGCAGTCACGAGGGGGCAACTTCAACCCAACACCCCAGCTGACAGGACAAAAGAGGGCGACATTGGCATGATTGAACCAGAGCTTGTTGTAGATAGACAGTTGTGACAAAGAAGGTCCACAAACATGGACACAAAATGGCTTCCTCATGCAACGGCCTGCGTTACACGGGTGTTTCACCTGTGAACTGTGATGTAGAATGTGGAGTGGTCATAAAGCATTCACTGTTTGCCCGTGGACATGAACAACACAATGGAATGCATCTCAGCGGATGCATCCGTCTTTTCAGTGGATCTGACTTTGCTCGGCTAGACTTGGAGTACTGCAGGAGTGATCCATGTCTCCGACTTCCCAGGGAATGAAATGCATGAATATTCTAGTTTGTGTACCTTGTCAGTGCGATGCCGTTTGCAAACAAGGAACAGCAGACCAACTGCAGGATAACATCCTCCAGGATGTTGCCTGTGACATTGGAAAGAAGCCTTCTCAAGGCAAGCACTTGGCGACACACCGTCTGTGTTGACAGTCTGAAGTCACACGTGTATATAATGTCATCACTGATTTCCTGTGTGACCTTAATGATCCGATTGGATGAGTTTTAATGAGTTCGTAACTTGCTAGCAACTCAAAATTAGAGATACCATAGACTTGTACTTCCATGACTTCAAATGATTACTTTTTCAAGGGGATATGGAGAAGCAGGATTGAAGTGGAGTGGGCCTGCAGAGATCTCCAATGTATGCAGCATACGTCGATCAAAGTGATGTGTAATTTTAAAATGAGTTTGTTCAACAATATTCAAATTTATTTATGTGTCCGCCATTTGGCTGATTGTTGCAAAATAAGTTGGCTGTATGTTGGAACAGTACTCTAACAGTGGAAAGTGTGTTATAAATTGATTTTTGTTACTTTTGCAATGCATAGTACTGAAGTTAATCAGTTTGAATTATATGGCCTGTGCTTATATTTATATTTCCTACATTATTAGTCAGTCAGTGACTTAAGAGAAGTGCAGTTGGAATGACTGTACGTAGTATTGGCCCCCAGTAATGGCCGAAACTGTATCAGCTACATTGTCCTTGACCTGTTATCACACGGGGATCACGCGGGGATCACGCGGCTTCTGTCTTTGCCGGGGGCCCCTTTAAATGTCGATCAAGGAGGGAGTGGGTTTAATCTGGCCGTTAAGGCTTTTTTCCCTACTCCAGAAGACAGTTTTCTTGGGTGATATGTCATTTCTTTGCTTCCTCAAAACTTTGTAAAGAACGACCCCAAAGATTACGGAAAGAAATCCAGACGTGTTTTGCCCTCTCCCCCTAAATGGTTTGGGACATGTCCTTAGTAGCGTTTGTACTATAAAATAGCACGTGATGGATTTTCTGCAATCAAAGTTTTATGACTGTTGATTTTTACCAGTTTAGAATCATGCTGACTTCTGCCTTCTGGTCCCCCACCTGCTTTATGTACATTTTTTCTCAGTAAGTCTTCGTCAGATCTTGAGTATTATATTTGAATTTTAAGTGGCAATACACAACTCAGTTGATTTCTGAATGAGCTTCCATCTTTGGTCGGTGTTACTCTGTACATGTACATCCAAATTGGACATTTGGTGAGCAGTTTGATTGCAATGTGAGTTTGAAGTCTTGTAAGCTTGTTGCTCTAATAGACCGATTGCACCTGCTAAGTCACATGACCTACATGTATGTTGGGTATGAAATATCAACAGACATGGTGTCCTCCCACAGCAAAGTGTGTTTACCAAATATACAGCTGACGTTCGGTATAGCACTCAGCACACCAGTAGTCCGAGTACTGTCCCGACAGCTTTATTTTTCCTAAATGACACTTATGACACACTGCTATGGGGGACAGCCATAGATCCTTAAATCAGGGAGCATCTGAAGGTCAGAAACTTATGGATTTCATTGGATTGTTCCCACTGAAACTCAAGGGTTCTGATTCCCATTCCCTTGGAACGTTCCTGCTTTGCGCATAGAGCATTCCCAGGCTGCATTCCAGTTAGCCGACTTGAGGTACATGTGTGGCGGACACAATAGGAGGGTGCTATCGGAATTGGATAAAATCTTGTATGTTTACTCCAGATATACCCATTTCAGATGGCGCCCTCCTGTTGTGTTGCCGCCACGCTTTGAGGAGGTTAAAGGGCATGTCGTGTTCCCTGTGGAATGGCCACTTGTTCTTGAACGGGAACAAGGCATTCTAAAAATGGAACATTTCAAATAATGATACATGCTTCCTTAGCTGAAATAAATGGAAATTGTGCATATTGCTAGTGTTAAAATGGGCTAGGTAACGGCTTTGTTGAAACATGAGAACAAGTCATTCTCACAAATGAAAGCGAACTCCCTCGTGAAATCCGAAAATAACATTATTTGAATAAATGTGGTTGTATGAAGTTTATCCCTGATTTCAGTCACAAATCCTAAATTTATTTATTACCAGTGGTATGGCCGGGAGGGGGACACACAATCGTTCCCCCCGTCACCCCTCCAGCTGGAAATTTGGAAGACATTTGGAATTTGGAAGAAACCAATGAACTTATTGAGAAAACGCTAGCCCATCCAGCTTCCCCACTTGATCCCCCAGTGCAAACCCTGGCTACACCATGTGTTTTTTTGGCCCACTGTCAAAAAGCAACATTCAAATTCATAGTTATTCTGTACTCGGTACTAAAAAAAGCTTACCAAAAATTGGCTCTAAATAGCAGGGGTGTTTGTTTTCCACACTTAAAAAAGCAAAATTACATGAAACGCATGTACAATGCAAGAGCAAAGCACTGTCGCAAAATTAAAGTTGCCATGACTTTCATCTGAGCTGACTGAACATTAAGATATTTTCAGACCACAGGTATGCCCTTAGGATAGATACTTGTACTGAAGTTTCTTTGAAACTGATCAAAATTTGTCTGCAGTGGAAGGCTGAACTGTGCCCACCATTCGCTGAGCCATTACCCACAAGAGACGGTTATTGTGTTACTTCTTCCTTTTGTTCCTTTTCCTCTTTTTCTTCAGCTGTTTCTTGTTCTTCAGTTCTTTCGGGATGATCTTGACCGGGAGGACAGTGACGGGTCTGTAGTCCGGCCGCAGTACCATCTTAGCTCTCTTCTTGGAGGGGCCCGGAGGACTGCCTGATAACTGTCTCTTCTTTTCGGGATTCTCGTTGGCCATTTGCGGTGATGTGGTCTCGTCCACTTTCGAAGCTGCCTGACTCTGGAGCACAGGAGTTTCTTTGGACAGATGTAGTGCTTGCTTACAGCTGTCGTCAGTTTTACTTTGATTTTCACTCGAGCGCTGTACATGTTCCAGGGCTGTGACATTCTCTGGAGGGTGGACTGCCACTGCTGCTTTGTCGGGGACCTGGGCTATGGCCCCTGAATCTGGATTTCTGTCCGCTTGGCCTTTGCTGTCACTTGAAGTTCCTGCTTGTGCACGGTCCGGGGCTGCCACGCCAGATGATCCTTGACCTTTGCCCTTTCCTTTGCCCTTGGCTTTCTGCGTCTCTGCGCCCTTGTCCATCATCTTTCCCCTAAGCACGGTTTTTGTGACGACCTGACGGAGTTGGTCTAGGGTCAACTCTTTGTACTGGAGCCATGGGATGTCGATTGGCGGTGTCATGGCAACAATAAAATTAACAAGATCATCAAAGGCAGTTGGGTCATCGCTTGTAAGTTTCTGAAAGCAAGCCGAGATAAATCATTACAGAATATTTGAGAATGAAAGGCATTTTGAGTACAATGCAAATCAAATAAAACAAATATAAAATTTCTACAATTCGTTGCATGTCTGTATAATGTTTAAAATAATAAAGAAACTTGACTTGGGTAAAAGTAAGTTTTTCAACAGTTTTCTTTTTCTTTTTCTTTTTTTTCCATTATTTTATAACTTTTACGATAGAGGGTTTGCATGGCTGCCATCTTGCAAGTAAGTGCCTTTGATCCACACTGTATGCATAAAGGAGGTTTCCCGTTGGAACAAAAGAAATGCCATGCAAGATGGCTACCATGCAAAGCCTCAAAAAGTACAGTTCTGTGGGTACCCAGTTGTCCGGGAAATGGATGTCCACTTACTGAAACCCACAAAGAGTAGCTCTAATTACAGCACTGTTTCAGAGAAAGGCCGCACCAAATAACTGCTCCTGCATCTCAAAATTATAGCAAACGTTCCTCTAGAAGCCACCACCACTGGCTGTGGCTACCTCCCATAAACAGGTGTGCCTGTCCCAGCCGCAGCTAGCCGATGTGGACGTTGGCTGCATACCTTGAAACCGACAGCCAGGAGCACCTTGAGCTTCAGTATGGGTGCCAGGGTGGAGCTCAGCCCGCGCAGGCACAGCACGGGGGTATCCCGCGTGGCACCGAGGGACATCAGGTGGCTGGTGGTGAGGGCTGGCTGGGCCGAGCGGCAGACCACGGCCAGGCGGAGCCCGCCTCGCTCCAAGGAGCGCGTCACCTCGTTGACGCCGAGTGCCAGCTGAGATCTGATGTGGGAAGTCAGCAAGAGTCTGAATGTGTCTGATTTACAAGTATTTGTGGCTATGCCTTTGACTTATTGCACTGACTTCTGATTGTTCTAGTAATTAGCAGCAACATTTGTACACTGAGCTTGGTAATTCCAGAAATTAGGGATCCAATTTTTTTCATGTCTCTGTCACATCTGACATGATTTTGTAAGTTCAGAACACATTTTCTGCTTTCCAAGAGTGATGAATTAATGCAAATTAGCTGTCAAACAAATTGAAATAGTTTGAAATCAATTCCGGTGATATTTCCATGCCAAATGACACAGGTCAGGTGTAACAGGAACACCAAAATTTCACACTTTCTCACCCTGAATTTATCGATTGACCCAAACGGAAAACTTGTTTAGGTCACTGTATACCTTTCCTTCATTTAAAAACACTAACAACCATCTTGTACATGTATGTGTGGCATAAAGTGTACCCTTGGTTAACAAATGTTTGGCTCAGGCTGAAGCACTTTTTACTTCCTTTTCAACATGGGAGGTATTTTCGCGATATTTTGTAGTTACGTTTTTTGTTTTAATATTAATATGAGGTTGTTTTAAAACTGTGTGAATTATTGTTACGGTTTCGTACTCACGGTCAGCCATAATTTACTAACTGGCAAAACGGCACTTGTGACATTGGCTAAAGAAAGGTCTGTGTACTGCAGTTCAGGAACAACCTACAGGTACGATGTATGTGCACCAGTGCCCTCTCATCAGTGATGAAGACTGAGATTCTGCCGACAGAAATCCCTTAGCTCCAGTAAACTCTGTTCAACTTTCTCACTAACCTCAGGAAAGCTCGTTTTGTTTTGGCCTCTTCGGAGACGACTTTCCTTTTTCCCTTCGAGGGCTGCTTAGCCAGACTTTCTGCATGGGGAGTGAAGGCGCTGTGGTACCACAAGCAAAATGTTGAGGTTATAAAACCTGAAAGATTTACAACCTAACAGGTGTTTCTCAAGTTACTGTTCTTGGCATGATTGGTTATACTTAAATTAACGTTAACCCTTGCCTAGCTGCCGGTAAATATAACAGGTAAATATAAAATGATAGATATTGATGGATTTAACAGATGACACAAATTGTAAGGGACACGGTGTCAGAGCAGTGGTGGTGCTCAATAACTATCACCGTGTATGTCACTGAATTGCATTTGTCATGAACAAACTTTATAAGGAAATTGACTAGGCGGTTACAATGATTGTAAAGATGAACAAAGAAATTGACTGGAGTGGGATTTAAACCTGCAACCTCCGGAATACCGTACTGGTGCTCTACCAACTGAGCCATCCAGCCCTACGTTGGTGGCCCTTGAATTTGGTTCAGTTGTATTTTGTGGCAATTGGGAGCGCCTGTTGTGTAGAAAAACCTGATGCCAGGGAAATGAGGATTTTATCATTATGTTTGAAAGATACAATTTACCTTGTGATTTTCTGAAGTATGGTGGCTGTCTCTTCTTGAGAGAGCTGTGGCCTATTAAAAAAGGAATTCCTGTCAAATATACTTTATTGCTATGTATAAATCTGTTTGAAAATACTTTGAAACTGTTGTAGACTCCTTTTCACCAGACTCCAATTTGTACATAGACGAGGTAGCAAACAGCCTCTTACGTTCTTTACATTCCTTCAACACGTTGGATAACTTGGAAACTTGTGGTTGTTGGCAGTAGGGATTCACATCACAACTCAGAACCTGTCCCTAAACTTGGGGAAGTCACTCTTTTTTCGTGGACAAAAGAGAGAAAGTCTCCCAAAATAGGAACTTTTTTCAAGTAGGCTTGGCACTGGGGATCCTTTTAATGCCATAATTAGATTCAGCAGAAGAAAACACCCAGGGCTGCTGTTTAAAAAATAATCTATGATTTATTTCTGGGATACAGGAGTCTGCAATGGGACGCAAAGGGTGGGGAAAAAACCTCATCAAAACAACTTTTCTGCATATTATTCCTAACATATTTAGATTAAATCATTAATAAAAACATCTAAAATAACTTAAATGAATGGAAATAATGTGAAAATATTTATAATAGCATGTGGGCCCTGGGTTTTTTATGCAACCCCACTGGGCAGAAAAAAAGTCCTTTAAGGAGACCTCTCCACGCTCTCTCGGAAAGAGTTCCACAAACGGACACCACTTGACACCCCATGCACAAACCCTATGAGACTGGTCTAAAAATTCTGTGTTTTCTAAGTAAAGAACTTGGTTTTTCTTTTCTGGACATGTGTTTGCTTTCTGGAGGCTAATACTAGTAGGTCACTGTATATGTAGAGAATAATTACTGGTGTCCGTATATGGAACTCTTCCAACTCTCTGTGTCTAAGGAGACTGGTTTTGTCTCATAATTTTTAATAATGGGAATTCCCCGAATTTGAACAGTCTCCGAGTTGTGATGTGCGCCCTAGACCTAGTCCTACTGCTGGCTGCGACGTCACATTACCCTGAGTGACATGCATGCAGGCTAGTATCATGCTGTGCACAATGGAACAGAGTTCCTGGATGTCCAGCCTTGAGAATGTTCAGCGTTCACACCCATAACCATAACGTTACTGTCAATGCCAGTCATGCCAGTACCATGTCCATAATGATGACTGCGTTATGCATGACATGCACATGTAAGACAGCTTCGTAATAGTATGTTCCATCGTATTCTTCATTTTCCTATTAGAATATTGAGAAACTTGAACTTACCACTCAGACGAGAAAGGAGATGTTATTGCATTCTTCACCGGAAAATAGTTTTTATTTCCCTTTTTGCCTCGAACTGTACTCGCACGAGAATCGACCGTGGGCGCAGCCATCTTGCTCCCTTAGAGCCTCCATCAAAACTTCAAACTACTGGACAATCAAAAAGGTTCTTAAATATGCTTGAGTAGCAAGTAAAGGGCTAAATTAATGTAATATATATTAATAATATCATGTTATGACTTTCAAAATAAAAAATTACAAATACAGTGTATTGGTATATAAGTATGAAGTTTATAAATATTTCGAGGATATTTTGTAAATTTCGCGCGCTTTGTGTCAAAGTTCATGATCGTGACATAGGCCTAAACACGTACACATGCACGACATTGATATATACGCTATGCGTGTTGTTACTAGGTAGGTTGTGCTGCATGCTATTTGATAATGCGATTAAGAGACAGAGGAAAAGTAATGCCGAAAAGGGAGGACAGCAGCCAGAAGATGACAAAACACACCAAAAAGGATCAAAGCCAGTGGGTTTTCCTTGCTCCGGGTGAGTTTAATCATCAGTTTTGTTTGGTTGTATCCTGGCCTAGCTAGCTGTGAGTAAAAAATAATGTTAGGCTTACCATCAGACCATCGATCCGGCCTACTGTTGTACTGGCACTGGCAAGTGGTATGTATTGTTACTGTGTTATTGTAGGTATGATCAGATCGTAGGCCTAGGTTAAAATGAATGTGTGTTTTGTTTGTACACAGAGAGCGTCGTGAGTGATAGCAACAGTGAAGAACAAGATGTGGCATTTGTCAAACTGAAACATCCAAAAACAGGTAAATACATGCATGATCATTGCATGACGTGTTTATGTAGTAAATGTAGATATTTTTATAAGGCCAGAAGAATGAAAGTTTTAGATTTGCGTCCACCGCCCGCTTGGTCTAAAACACCCCACCGTAAAAGTTCATTATTTAAAAAAAAACAAACATTATTTTCAGAAAAATGCAGGAATAAAAAATCCATTTCAAATCCTAAATCATACAGCAGTAAAAGGGTCCAAAATGCGTATATCTACGGATACCTACCATGCCTACCTACTACACGAACAATCGAATTCTGTAAGACTGTAATATGCATACGCGTAAAGCCCTGGCCCGGCCGGGGAATACATGAACATATGTAAGTATCAACCGAGCACGGACATTACTGTTCATGTACATACATACATGAACAAGCAATCCCGTTAATGTTGCGTGTCGACTTGCCTTGGCTGGCTGGCCGCGAGTATACAGAATGCTGCATCCAATCAAAATTTGTTCTGTTTGACAACTCGATGACCTCATTCGCCTTATATGGAAGGTGAGGTTGTGGCTGCTTGCGGCTGGCATGCCAATTATTGAATTGAATATGCATTAAGCTCAGTTGAATGCAGGGAGAATTTAGCAGTGTCAAGTACCAGGGAATGCAGTATATTGCATGTTGCTGTTGATCTGTTGTAAATTCTTACTACATACTTTACATATTCATCGCACTTGGCCACTCTGCGCTCCACACACCGTCATATACGAAAAATAATGAATCATGAAAAAAAGCCTCATATTTTTCCAAAATGTTCCGGACGCAAATCTAAACCTTTCATTCTCATGGCCTAAGGAATGTTTAATCCTGAGTTCAGTTCTCAGGAAAGAGTTCCCTATCCAGATGTCACACGACATGCTTTGCGCTTAATTGCTTGACACCCTGTGTACAAACCCTGTGAGACTGGTCTGAAAAATTGTTTTCTAAGTAAATGCTTCAATATTTTTCCTGCTGAATTTGACTTTTTGGGAGGCATGTTATCACTTTCCGATAAAACACCATGACCACTGCAAGGGAAAATAAGTGATGTCCCTATGTGGAACTCTTACCTATTCTTGATCTGTGCTCACAATCACATAGACCTAGTTCTACGTTGTTTTCCCATTTGCCCTTCCCCAACAAAATAAGAAATTGCAATGTTATTCTTTAGCAAGCCTATTTCAAATCCAATTTTACATTAAATTACATGATATGTCCCTTTCTTTTCATTATTTATGACTTGGGATGATTTTTGGGTGGAGAAAACTCTGAAGTGTGCTAGGTCTGAATTCTATTACGTCCCAACTTTAGCATAAGTCCCAAGTATAGTTGGGACAGTCTCAACTGTAGTGCTGTAGTCGGGCTGGCCCAACTATTGTTGACCAGTGTCTGTGGGAAATGTCTCATCATCCAAGGACCTCTCTGCTGTAGTTGGGCCAATTCAACTTTAGTTGGGACGTGCCCAACTATAGTTGGGACCGATGCTACAGTTGATGCAGCATTGTTAAAAGGTGCGCTTGAAATGTCAGTAGTATTTACTTGTGTCCTAGTAAGGGAAAGTATTAAATGCATATTCCAATTTTTCATGAAAAAAATTAAAGATGGTCTCAGTTTTACATCGTCATCCAAATATTTCTGTCATTGTCATCAGTGTATGTTTGGTAATTTCGGTTCTTTTTTCTGCAAGATTTTTTTCCTCAACATCACTGCGGATTTGTTTCCTCGTAGACAAAGCAGCCATGTTCCTGTTCAGCAGCGACGACAGCACAGTGCATGAGCTCCAGTCCTTCAAGGAGAAGCACAGATCCTGGTTCATCAACGACACCGTCCAAGAAGGTCAGTCATTTGTGCAATATGTCAACAGGTTCGCGGTCTTTGAAGTCTAGGAACAGTGGTGCATCTACAGGGTTGGTTTGAGCCCCCCTCCCCCAGGGATTTTTTTTCTTGACTTTCTAAAGAATAGAAACACAATATGCAACTTCATCTTAAACTGCTGGCTGTGATACAGCGGTACACGTGCATTGTTGGTGTGGGAGGGCTTAAGCATCATGAATAGTTTAGAGGGTAATTTTCACTCCGAGCCCTCAACCTCCCAACCCCACGACAACTCCTGGGTGTGCCACTGTCCAGGGATCATTGCCTGGACCCATCTGAGTGCTCCAGATTTGCGTGCTGAGTGCTCGTACGTTCAGTAAAACTAAGCAAAACACCAGCCTTGCTTGTGAACGTTCGTCATCAGTCGGTTCATCGGTCCCTTTTTCTTCAGTGACGGAAGAAAAGGTGATTTCTGGCAGTGTGAAGTCCACAGCTTGGCAGTGGATCATAGCACGAGCACAGAGCAGAGGTTGTTCACTGGTCAGTACAGGTGCATTGACTAAACTGGCTGCCCTGTCACTGATGCCAGTACAGCTAAGCGCACTGTCAAGGGACTTCCCTGCATGTAGACTACATTCCCCTAATGGCCCAAACGAGGGCACGTTCAATTTCACAGTGCTTTGTATAGGTTTGCATACCACTAGTAACAAAGGTACACTGGTTATGCCAAAACTGAAGTACGGATTGTGTTTATTGAACATGCCCCTAGCCTGGAAAAGGGAATGCTATAGAGGAGCTGTTAAAAGGTCACTGGAAACACAAACAAATGGGTCATGAATCCTTTTGAGTAACAAGTTTCTGCATTGTTGGCCTGCCGTCCAGTTTCCTTAAGCGAATGATCATTTTGTATTTCAACCCATGAAACTCCCCAAATATTGATACCGATGTCCCTAACGGTTTGGAACACTAATAGAAATAATGCTGATTGTAAAGATAATTAACAAAGTTGGAATGAGTTTGAATGGTTTGTTTTCTTTCCTAGATGGATCTCTCATGATGGCCACTGTAATAGATCCTCTGTTTCTCATCCTGCCATACCTTGAGAAGGCAGACAGCGTGAGTTGAAATCTGAAAAAAATCCTTTTTTTTTTCAAAACAGATTTAGGGACACACTAGACAAGTCGCTATTGAATAAATACATATGCAACATGAATAGACCAAAAAGAGAGATTCATCATACAGTACCGATTTCAAGAGACTTCTCAGAGTGAACATTGGGAGCACGCCATTTTGTAAATCCCCGCTATTCCATTAGGGTATTGTACATTTTGGATCATACTTTACCTATTAAGAAAAGATTTCTTGTGTAGCCTGTATCCTTATGTTACTTTTTACCATTAACCTCAGCCTCTCCAGATTCTTCAAAATTCAGCAGTAAACTTGTAAGATTGAGTAAGGTAAAACTAAGTCACTGCTGCTTTTTATTTTCACTGACAAGAGCTTGATGCCCCTTGAAAGTTACAGCATAACAAACATGCCATTGGCTCCAATCAGCACAGTGGTGGATTTAGCACAGGAAGGTTCTTGAACGTGTCTGAGGGTCAACAATGTGACACGTACGAATGTTTGTTTTCTTTGAATATCAGAGAGGGAAGTACATGACGCTGGACCAGATCTTGGATGATGTAGATTACCCACAATGCCACAGACTAGTCAGGTGCTCAGGGGTGTCCGACCTGCACTGCATATCCAGTGTCAGAGGTCAGGTTCCTTTGCTTTTGTCGGTTGGTTTGCTTGTTGTTAATCCTTTTGTTCGTTCGAGCTTTTTGGGTTCGATTTGTTGGGTTTCATCTGTTGTCAGTGCTGTAATTGTTACGTGGACGCCAAACCTGTCATTCTCAGGTGCCTCAGATGTGCAAGCGTACCGTTTCGACCGCGACAAGACTCTAGACTGGTTGAAAGCCAAGACGGAGAGGTTAGCAGGGAAACTGGAGGAGAAGGAAGTCCATGTGACATCAGGAGCACACGCTGCCACATTTGTCAGGAGCAGTAAAGGCAACAATGCCACCAAAGGTGTGAAAGAAAGAACAGCATTCATATTTGAGTTTGTTGACGGCACTGTGTTGAAGGATTCCTCTAAAGCTGCCAAGATAGCTTGGCTTACAAGACAGGGGAAAGTTCGAGCGACGAGCATTTGCCAACCACGGGCCGATGTTACCTGGTCCCCAGGATGTTTTTTATGCAGAGGCCACCAAGGAAGTATTTACCAATGGTTGATAAATAGCCTTTGCTCAATTCTTCACCGTATGAATCCTGCAGATGTAAGACAGTTTGGAAATGTTCAATTTTAAAGATGGGAACAAACTGAAATGAACACACGCACACTGCAGAAATGCAGTCTGCATATCAACCAATGGCAGATGAAATCACATTGCCCACAACCTGTGGTTTAATTTCACTCTCAGGAAATATTTTCCAGGCACCTGTTCCTAATTGCCACCTTCCTCTTTTATGCTCTGACAGAGGACTACCTCAGGTATGCAGCCAGCATGATCTCTGACTACGTCACATCCGACCTCAGTAAACAGCTATTCGGTCATTTGGGGTAAGTCATGCCTTGTACTTGTAGCAAAAGTCACAAATGTGAGGCATGCAGTGTGACAGAAAGTTAACTTTCCACAGACTAATAAAATTTTTGAAGGTTTGAAGGGCAGTAGAAAGTTGTGGAACGTTTTCCTGTCATGTATTAGGTGTGTGGTACATAAATTGGCATTGTTTGACTAATGAGCACAGGAGTTCATTTCTTTGGGAAAAATTGCTTCACCTCCGGAAAATGAATTTTATTTATTTATATCTGTTCATCCAACAGCCCATTTAGAGCCAATTAAATACAGGATGATGATGAGTGAAGAAGACATTAAAGAATTGTTCAGTTTTGGAGGTGGGAGGAAAACCCCGGATAAATGTTTCAGGGAAAACCCATGGACTCGAAAATCCAATCCGTGAACAGAGCCGGATTCAAACCCAAGCCCCCAGAGATGGAAGGCGAGGAGAGAAACCCTATCCAATCTGACTCTGCACGGATCACATTTTACTGCAGCGCTTAAAAGCAGTCAATATTTGTGAACCATCAAACAATTCAGCCTGGAAAGGTCTCACATTTTGGCACTTGTGTCCTATATGGGTAATTCCAGAAATTAGGGGTCCAGTTTTTTCGTGTCCCTGTCACATCTGACGTGATTTTGTAAGTTCAGAACATATTTTGTAATTCCCAAGAGTGATGAATTAATGCAAATTACCTGCAGAACAAATAGTAATAGCTTGAAATCAATTCCGGTGATATTTCCAAGTCAAATAACAAAGGTTAGATGTAACAGGGATACAAAAAGGTCACATTTTTGGACCCCTTATTGCTGGAATTACCCAATATAATGAGTTTAGCAAATGGGCCAAGGGTTTGTGCATGTGTAGATCGATTCAAGGAACATATTGATTTGCTGTGCCACAGAATTAAAGAAGTCACAGACAAGAAGACGGCTGAGCCGGACACGCCTTCATCAGAACCTCCTGCCAAGGTAGGGAGCAGTCAATTTGTCGTGGAATCTCCTTTAAATAACCCGAAGGTCTCAAGTTTCAAGAGCATTGTTTGTCTTGTTTTTTTTGTCCTCCCCTGCAGAAAGCGAGGTTGTCTACCGCAAATGGGGAACCAGAGGAAGATTACAGCAAGAACTTTAATGGCAATGCAACGACTTCTGAGAAGTCAAAGGTTAGTCGGACCTAGGAAAGGTAGATGCAGTTTTATGACAGATAAACTAGGCGTGTGTGGATGTTTGGGTCAGTGATCTTTTTGTCTGTGTTATGAGGATGGATATTGTTGCTTTGAAGGGTAATATTAAGAAAAAAAAAATAATTTCCTTGGGTTAAAAGACCGAAGGTAGGATTACATTGGTGCAGAATGAATGAATATAGTTCCCAAATAGCAGGTACATTCAAAGGAATCTTTTAATTCCACTTTAGTAACGATTTGCTCGTGCCTTTCTTTTCAATCGAGTTTTGAAAAAACTAAAGTTGGTTTTGGTTTTCAAGTCAAGTCAGGGGCCAATATTTTGTGGAATTTTTTTGGAGCAGGTGCATCCCAATCATTTCTTTGTCGAAACAGATTTTGCAAAGCAGTGTAGAGCGGGCTTGGAAGTCAAGGCGGTTGTTTAAAATCCATTTACAGATATTTTTTTGTTCAAGGGGTTAGAGACTGTTCAGCTTTGTATCTGCATGTTCATTGTTACATTTGTGTTATCCACCGTAGGTTGAAGGATGTCGAGGTGGACATCTTGGCTGCTAAATTTTGCCGACACTGTTCAGAATTGTATTCAAATTTTCCCCTCCACAGCAACCACGCTTTGACTAGTGAAGTCTGTGGTGACCATTTTGTACCAAAAGGATAAAAAAGGGGCAAAAAGTACTTTCTCTCCCCCAGGATGCTGGCTCACGGTCTGCTCTTGCATTCACGCCCACTTTTAAGGCCAATGACCTTTCTTACTGTGAATCACCAAACAAATTTCTGGGCATTTTTGATTTGTTTCAGCCCAAGCTGACAGCGGCACAGAAAGCTCTCAGCAAAGTCGACAAGTCGGGTATGAGAGACATCGCCAGCTTCTTCGGGAAACCCAAGAAGTCAAACTCAACAAAATAACTCCAAATTTATAAGTAATAATACAAAATAAACAGACTGTGCCCTGTGGATGCTCTGTGGATAAATTTCGTGCTATCTGTGACCGCCCTTCCCATGGCAAATACGGTGCATTTTTCAGTTTTTATACCAAAAAACAGAGAGATTGGGCATTTTTCAAGACTGGTTTTTACTTCTCTCAATCTGATTTTCTCAATGGACAGTTTTGATCTGAAGATTAGATTGTGCTGTGGTTGGCCTGTGTATGCTCGTCCACAATCATGGATACACAGTTTGATCCATGTATAGACACCAATGTGAATGATACAGAGCTTCTGATGTCTTCCTTGAATATCAAGTTCATATTAAAACATCAGTACTCTTTATTCTTAGTTGAGAATTAGCTCGCTAATTGATTTGTGTATAGTCTCAATGTATCAATAAAGGATTGTTGCTATGGGAAGATGTGAAGGTGTACCCATGACTGGATTTTTTTCACGTCCCGGAACTCCAGATTTGAGAATGTTTTTCTGAGAGTGAAATTGCTTCCATGAGAAGGGTTTCACATTAGCCCTATTTCAAGGGGTGGCTAAGTGGAGAATTCTGCTTGGAAGTTTGTTTACTAAGCAGAGAGCAGCCGGGAGCCAGTCAAAAAAATAAAAAAAACATGCACAGTGAATGGCATTGTGAATTCGGTGGCAGCCGAGTTTTGCTGAGCAAGTTTTTTGTGCTTAGCGATATCACTGTTTATCGTCTGTGTGAAATAAGCCCCAGGGAAGGGACTTATTTAATAGGAAGCTGCAATAAGGGTATTTTATCTTTCAGCCTGTATGGAGTCGGTGCGTACATGTGCCCAAAAAAAAAAAAAATTACCCCTATGCCATCTGTGACGGTGTTGCAGTGTATTGTGTCTATCACGAGTCAGACACTGATCACCTGACACTGACAGGGAACACGGCGGCGTGAGCAGTGACAAAGGAACGCCAATTTGTCACATTTCCTGTGAACAGCCATTATGACCTCCCTCGAGACCCAAATGACCCCTCGTTGATTTGTGTCGAGCTTGGGAGCACTTCGTAAATACTTGACAACAGCACGGAGGCAGGAAAAGGTCTCCATGACTACAGTGAATAATCTTCCTTGACCACCAAGAACATTGGGGAAGAAAAACGCCGCCTTCCTGCCTGACACAAGGCCTTTGGTCTGCGTTACGGTCTGGTCAAGGCCTTTGGCCTGCGTTAAGATTGGGGGAAGCGTAAAAAAAAATCAGTTACCTACTTGTGAAAGAGCAAGTTTGGGGAGGTTGACGCGCTGGGTTGTGTAAGTTTAAATCACAGCATACACTTGTGTCGCCATGGCTCATTTAAGGTACATGTATTCTACGGCGTCTGTCTTTGACAGTATTACATAAGTATATGAGCACCATGGATCCCTGTGTGTACAGGTGTGCAGGCGTGGCATACTGCAGTGGGGACCTATACCAGGCAAGACATGGGACAGAGGGGTACCCCCCCTTACCCATCCAATCTCCTATACACGCTCTAGACTATTACCTAACACATCCCCCAGAAGTCTGTAAAGATTTCCTAAGATTCCAATTAAACAATGACCAACACAACGGCGGGGGGGGGGTTCTCTCCGTCCCATATCTTGCTTCAAATGTTTGGACCTCTGCACAAAAGAAGTCCACATAATGTAGGGTGCGATGGCGTTGTGTGGATTTCCCCTCTCTGAAAAACAGTTTCAGAGGCATTTTGGGATCAAGGGTATCCGTGGCAAAATGAAGAGGAACAGTCCAGGAAGTCATCATCAAAAATCCAGTTAGCTCAAAGGAGTCATCCTAATTGGAGAAAAAAGGAGTATTTTTCCTCAAGTTTCATTAACTGCAGGAGAACAAAGGAACCACACTTTGTATGTAAAACAGGCATGGGTGTCTCAGTGTGACAGCGGTAGTATACAGAAATGAGTTACAATTTGCCGCGAGTTTGCAAACTCGACTCGACTCTGCTGCCCCAGTATTATTACTGTAGTGCCGATGATCAGGGGCAGGTGCACCCCAATGGGACATTTTTGTATCTTTATGTACATCGTATGAAAAAAAATCTGTCTTCACAGTAATTGCTCGTATTCTGTCAAATTTCCAATGGTTTGGAAATTATTCACATGCCTGTTACTGTCATCGAATGAAATATGTTTTCTTTGAAGGAAGTCGGGTCGATTTTCCAATAAGATCTTCTTTCAAATCTTTTTGCTTGTTGTACTCCAAGTTGAAAAATAATGGAAAAAAATCTCCTTTATCGGCTGATTGACACTGTTGACCAAACCTGTAGTCAAGTTAACATTTCTGTTAAAAAAAGGTGCATTTTGGTCAAAAATATCACATCAAAAGGCCTTTTGACATGCAGATGTTCCGACTTGGCGTACAATCCTGACCCACGTTCATAGTTACTGTCGATTCGGCATCATAAAAATTTTCATCAAGGTAAGGTCATTCTGTGCCGCTGAAAAAACAAAGGCAACTGGTTTGTTGACCGAAGACCAATCACAGTACATTGTTGTCAAAAGGCCCGGCGTGACGCAGTCACGGTAACGGCTTCGGAGTTGTCAAGGCGACGGCTTGGGCCCACCACCGTTGCCATGTGCCACCAGATTTCGCAGACGTCGACCTAGCTTCGAGTAGCTGTAGCGCTGTCAACAACAGCCCACAGGCAGTCAACAAGGACGCCGTCGACGTTTTATCGATTTTAATTTCGATTAATAAGGGTTCCCCTCGACGTAGTCTTTGTCTCCGTCAGTTTCACCATGCTGGAACATTTCCTCTTCAGTTTCGTCTTTTTTTTTATATGACGCTGCCGAAGTGTTGTGTTTGTGCGTCTATGGGCATGCATGACTCCTGAATAATATGCAACAGGCCCGTATGAAACTTGTGTTGTTTGTTCGACAGCTTGTTTCGGTCGTTGTCTGCCTATCATTAAAGGACTTCTCTGCACGTGTCAAGCTGCCATTCGTCGAGCAAGGCATCTTGCATCAATGTCGTTTAATGATGGAGATGTTTCCTCTTTTGCAATATCGTGTCCATGTTAATGTCTTATGAATCTACGGTAACAAAAACACATTTCTCTGTTGGGCAACGTAATGCAACAGCCGTTCCCATCTTATTTCCGACAGTTAGGTATGTGCATTTTATTTAAATGCCTGACTGCGATTGGCATAAACGTGTATTTTTAGAACCATATTATAACGTTCTTGATCGTCCATGCAGACTTTACTAACATCAGATTCTATAATGTGAGGCGTTCTTTGCATGCATTGCACGGAAATTGTCGCATATCTTTGGTTTTATTCTAGCTGCAGAAGAAATAATCACATGCCGTGTCTGATATAAGTTTCATTACTCTAACGCAACATTTTGTTCTTTATGACGATTGTTAAACGTTCCAGACCATTGATCACTGTCCAGCTCATCCAGTTAGTTGGATAGATGGATAATAGGCCTATCTACAACATTTGATCCATAAAAAGACTCGAACAACGACTACGACGGAACATGTTGCAGTGCGTCGTCTACAAAAGCTATATCCATTTGTGAAGCAAATTTGATGGCAAGCATTTTAGCACAGTCGTTTATAGCACTGAGAAACTGAATGCTACATGTTTTATGTAGTTGATATAACTGGCCGTTTTCGGACAGCAGCTTCAGCAACTGCCGGTAGCAGAGGCCCTTTCTTCCCTTTGCTCTTTCGCTTGGGAGCCGGTTGAAGCCCGTCCCTAATGGCCGATATGTTGTCGTAGTCCTTGTCGTGCGGTGCGTTAGGGTAGATCGTCCGGCCGGACTTGGTCTTGTACGTCTTCAACTGCTCCTTGCTCCGCTTGGACCTGTTGCTCGGGGGAGGGGCCGCAGGCTGGAGCTCCGCGAGACCCGTTCTCGGGACGGCAACCCAGTTGGACTTCTTGGCCGGGGCCGGCGGCTGCGTGCCGTCCGCGTTTCGGTCGGCAGGTGGAGGAGGCGGTTGTCGCTGTGATGGCGGTCTGGAACGGGGACGTGATGTTGGCAGTGGCGTCTCAGATTTTATCTTTTCTTGCCCATCAGCCGCCGTGGCTTCTCGAGTTTCTCGTGCCTTCTTTTTTTCCTCTTCTTTTGCTTGAACCTCGGCTCTCTTCCGTGCTTCTTCCTCCTTTGCCCGCGCCTCTCTTTCTCGGGCTTGCGCTTCAGCTTTCTTCCGCGCCTCTTCTTTTGCCTGCTCCTCGGCTGCCTTCCGCGCCTTTTCTTTCGCCCGTGCTTCGGCCCTGGCTTTCGCTTGAGCCGTTGCTTGTGCATGAGCTTCTGCCTTTGCCTGTGCTGTAGAGGCAGCTTTCACCTCTGCCTCTGCCTTTGCCTTCGCCTGTGCTGCTGCCTTCGCCTGTCGAGCAACCTTCAGCGCTTCTTCGAAGGCGTTTGCAGTTTGTACAGTCTTTGCTGCCGCCCTTAGTTTCTCGGCGGATTCACCCGGTTCTGACTTTGCGTTCCGTGCTTCGGGTTCACCCTTGGCTTGATCGTAAGGCGATACGGGGACGTCCTGCGCGTTCCTACGGTACTCCTCAAAGCGATCGTGCCTCTCCTTCGTGAAGTCGGTCTCTCGGCACTCGGCCGGCAGGTACTTCCTCAGGAACAGGGGTATGTTGGAGTGGTCGGCGCGCCCCTCCTTCACCAGGATGTCGCAGATTTCGGCATTCTGCTGCTTGGCGGCCAACAGGAGTGCCGTGTCGCCCTCGGCGTTCTTCGCCTCCACGCCCGCCGTGCCGTGCCTGACGAGGGTCCGGGCCGCGTCGGCGTTGTCTATCTTGACGGCATGGAGCAGGGCGGTATCGCCCTCTTCGTCCTGGAGCTTAGGGTCGGCCCGGCGCTTCAGAACCATCTCCATGATCGGCACGGCCTCCGGGCCTGCTTTGCAGACTACCATCAGCGCCGTCCGGCCGTGGTTGTCACGGAGGTTTACGTCTGCTCCTTTCTTGAGGAGCAGAGACACAATGGCCTGCCTCTCTTCCTGCGTAAAATATTGTAAAAGCAAACCAAAAAAAGTTGTCAGTAATCCGCTCCGAGCGCAACAAAGAGGGCGTGCTTTTTTGTACTCGTCGTGTAAGCGCGCGTTTATGGGTGCAGACCACTAATTCCAGTGAGAATTTCTGGCCAGCTCATTAGCATTAAAAGTGCCCCCCTCCTCAGTATCTTTGGAAAAAGGAGATTGTTCGGCCCCCCAAATGGTGAGATTTTGTAAATCCTTGCTAGTATCAACTCCTTGGGTCTTTGAGCTTTCATATGAGAGCAGAATGGCTAAAAACTACGGTTGAAAAATGGTCCTGGAAAAATGGTTGAGGTCTGCCACTTGAAAAATGACTGCAATCAAACTTCGGAAAAATCACTTTTTGGGGGGTGATTTTGTTTTGTGGGAATTATTAGAAATGTAATTGGTTAACCCACAAAAAATTGAAAAGAGTTGAAAAATTAGTGACAGACAAGAATTTCAGTTGTGTTTCAGAAATCTCAGGGATGTTGGCGTGCATGTTATTGAGCCCTGAACAGAGCTGATTTTTACACTGTGTTCAATAGGGCTTGAATTAGTGGACTGTACCCTTATAGAGTACCAAAGTGTGACGTCACTGTGATCTAGAAAGTGTAACAAATGGAGTACGTGTGCGTGTTGGATAATTAACGCGCTGATTCTCGCTCTAATGCCTTTACACACACAATTGTACGCCTGACGTAGACACCTCGGTACTCTATAATGGAGATCAGATAATAAAAAATCAGTGCTCTGGAATATGTGATTGCCGAGCTTTCGGTAACTGAGTACCTTCTTTTATTCAGTTCTCTGCTAGCCCTGAAGAAAGTACTCAGTTACCAAAAGCTCAGCAGTCACATATTCCAGGGCACTGATTTAATCTTATATTCTTGTCAATATTCTGATCACGGTGCTACGCAGCCCTTCCATATTTCTCTAATGGAGATCAATGGCGCGTGTGACGCGGAGCACGCTGAGTACCGAAGTGAATTCGTCACGCGCACAATTAGCGTGTAAAAGGCATTAGCGCGAGAACCAGCGCGTGAACCAACACGCGCGCGTACTCCATTCGTTTGCACTGCACTTTCTGGTTCACAGTGACGTCACACTTCGTTACTCTATAACGAATTTATTCCATGATGTATGGTCTTTGCGTACACGCAGAACGTGTGAAAGAACCCGCTTGGAAAAAATTACGACCACCTGTCTTTCTTTTGCCGTGCACTTCAACTCGGTTTCTTGCAGTGGACTTACTAACAGAACCGTGATTCGATACCCATCGAAGAAAACTCAACTGACCTGACCGCTCAGCAGGCAGGCGCGCATGAGTGGCGTCCGCTGGAATACGTCCTGCGCGTTGATGTCCACCCCTTCCCCTTCCACCAGCTGCCTGGCCGCCGTCACGTCCTCGCTGTTGATGGCGTTGAACAGGCTGCGCTCCTTGGCCGACAGGATCCGGATGACTTTGCTCTTCTTGTTCCCCGCCATGTTCGAGGATGTTGCTATCGGTGTGCGCGTCTTCCTGTTACCTGTGCTCGAGAGACACCACATACCGGTCGCTGCCTCTGAATATGGACGGTCACCGTGTGTAATTATAATTTAAGAGCCCCTCCAACAAGGCGAATTGCGGGACACAACGTATGAGCATGGTCCCCTATCAACCCCAAAGGGGCAGAATTTGACTCAAGTGTATTCCCTTCAGACATTTTTCGCTATACATTTTACAATCAAGAGAAGCCTTCGGAGGGTTTTCTTCTGAGGTCTAGCGGGCATTTGGGTTGAAGTTTTATGAAAATTGCCCATTCGGCTCTAACAAAACTGTCCATTTCCCCAAGACAGAAACTAAGGCCCAAAATGTCGACTGTGCTCAATACACGGACCGATTCTAAATGTCCTCTGTAAATAACCCCAACAGGCCCTTTTGGCACAAAGCAGCACAAAACGTCACACGTATATGCAGACATCTTTGAGGATGCCGGGTTTCAAAAAGATTGGTTATGGGACAGCAGAGAAAGCCGTGGTCGCACTCTACCCTTGCTGCCTACGCACGAGATCAAAACCCTGGCTGTCCTTTTAGAGCGCAAATCAACTTCAAAAATTAACCAAAAGTGGATGATTATACAAGAGCATTAAACACATGAAAAATGTAGGTCATAGAGTTACTTTAATCTGTCTTTGCGGAATTTTTGAGAATTATGTTTACATTCTTTCGTGGATGCCCTCCAGAGTCGTTGTTCGTTGTACTGAGTGCAAAAAGCTTTCAATTATTGTAGCTTTGACTGCACAGTGAACCAACTTTGAGTAGAATCAGCGAAATTTCTGCAGCAGTGGTTAATGTTAACCGTAGTGGTGCCAATCCACGACACATGTTCAGTATTGATTAACTCTAGCCAGCCGCTTATTATAAAATAGCCCGTGGAGCTGCCTTATTGCAACCCACCCGTATTATAATTATGTACAATACCTCCCAGACTACAGCATTAAGGAGTAATTTTGTCGATTGATGTATACAGGCCTTTCCAACAGCACGGCAAAAATTCATAACTTGGTTTGTTTTCGTGAAAATCCAAAGCATGAGTTGTATTATATTTTTAAATTCCAATATTGAACAAGAAGGATATAATGCATCGGCCGTGGTATGACACATTTTGCCCGCGGATTGACCCTTCCAAAACTAGAATAAATAAATACAATGGACTACCATTTATGATTTTATGGTATTTCTCAGGCAGTGAAGAACGATTACACTCGTGCAAGCTTATCCACATATATTTAACACTTCCTCAATAGCAGATCTTTTATTGAAATTTTGCCGTATCTGATGGAGTGAAAATCTTCTTGTGTTCATGGAAAAACGTTGAAATTATATTTAAAAACGCTGGGCATCTCTTTGCCCAACGTTGGGTACCAGGTGCACATTATGTATTGCGTCATCGGAATATGGTGAAGATTGTTTGGGACGTGCTTCGAGTTTCACATGTATCGTGACATTTAGTATTCGAACAGTGCCAATGTAGAATTAAGCGAATGTTTCAGCTGCAGCTCAAATCCGGAGCAGGGCCTCCAAATGGACAGAGAGACGAAGTGAAGTGAAATTTCATAATTATTGAACTTGTTTCCTTCAAAACAAATAGCAACTTTCCTCCAATTATCCTCGAACTGACCACTACAACATTGCAGAGAAAACCTCTATCGATTTAAACACTGCTTGCATTCATTATCAAAAAATCTCCTTGTTAAAAGATTTATATTTAGTAATTTGGGGAGAGTGAGACAAAACCCAAACCGATTATTATTTTTTACAAGCCAAGCCTCATTAGTCTGGTATCTTTTCCTTTTGAGTGGTGTTATTTTGTTTGACCTTGGTTTCAAATTACACGGAACAGTCCCTTAGGGGACCTTTGTGATTTAGTCCCAGCAGGTCACATTTATGATCCTGCTTGCTGGGGCGAATACATTACCAACATTTCCATTTAAAAAGCTATGCATCTTGATATCGCCGTGTGTACCTATCTCCGACCCCCTTGTATTTCAAAACTGGAGTTCATGTCGGTTCTCTGTAGAATAACACTTACCTCGGTAAAATACGATCTCCGTGCCCCTTTTGAACTTCCTTAGAAACTATTGGTTGAATCAGTTATCAGGTTTCCAGCCTCAATCGGACCATTGCAATGTTGCATTTCACAACAGTCACACCAGCCGCAAAAGAGGCAACGTCTCATTTAATGCCGATCTATCATTAATCACTCCATCGAGAAAACTCATCACCACAATTCTCTGGGCGTCATTTACATATCAATCTGCCTAATATCGGTGCAATGATCGCCAGTATCTTTTTTCTGTCTTGTCACTGACTACTAGAGCCCCAGAGAGGTAAAAACTGCTCTGCGGATGCGAACGTGCTAACGCCAGCCGAAGCTTCTGAAAGCGATCTGCACGAGGAAGGCGTAGGCTGTACAGCGAGCCCAAATTTCTGCTAACGGTGGCAAACGACCAAGTTCCTAGTTGTTAGTGTGACGTCTGTGATGTCCTCAGTGACACTAAAGGGCAGGCATCGGCGTTTTCAATTCCTAATAAGTGACGCGTTGACTGGGAAGGGTCCACTGTTAATTACGTAGTTATCGGTACCATGCGGCTGCAATTAAAGCGCTATGATCGCATCCCAGCACTAGACGGGAATCCTGACTCACTGCATCCAAGTGTAATTATTAAAGTGCCATTGGCCGTCAATCGAGTGTGTTTCTTGAGGCCTAGAGCCCACTGCCTAACAGTTGCCAGAAAAAAACTAACTTGAGAAGAAAAGATGCTGACCTTAAGCACTATTCCACGACAGTGCTTGGTGTTGTTGTGCTAAAGGTTGCACGCACATAGAGCTCGTGTCCAGGGTTGCAGACAATTTTTGTCTGCATGATAGTAATAGGGGCCTCATCGGGTCACCGCGCGCCAAATTCCAAAAGCAGCCCATAGGCCTACCTGCCTGTTTCGGAAGCAACCCTGAGAGATACAAGGAGAAATTGATGTCGCGGTTTCTCCATTCCAGGTTATTAAATTGTCAATAATGCAAGGTTGCGTCAAGGCTGACTTTCCCACCTCCTTTAATAGGGCGCTGGAAAAGGTAGCTTATTACAGACTTTTTTTTCGAGCACTCAGTACGGGTTTGCACTTCCGTGTGCGTCTGTAACAGGTGTGCACTAAATGTATGATGCATTTGTCAGGGAGGCAAGCCACCCACAATGCTGTGCACATCCGTAGAAGTTACGTACTTCCTTCACAAAAGTCTGTGATGGGTATCTGCTCTTCCGAGCCCTGTACGCATTGATGCTCTTCAAGCGATTTTGGGGGGATCAGTTTTGGGGAAAGGCAGACTACAGTTTCCAGATAGGTTTGAGTTTCCCTGATCACGCACTTCTCCCCTCAATTCGCAATGGTAAGGAGCCCTGGCTCTTTAGCCTTGAATGTGTTTCCAGGTGATGGGGAAAGAATTCCGAGTCAATTTTTGCCAGTATTGATTTCTGAACCAGAATGCCCGACTAGCAAACGGTTCCCAGCCAGTTTCCGTATTCTTTTTCTGAAGTTACAGTTCACGCCTATTGAGCAATGAGTGCGTGTGAGAACATACGCCTGTGCGATCAGGCTTATTGATCAACTAATTACAAGTGACCCAGCAGAAAACATGCTAAAAATGACACCAGTCCTCGACACATTTTTTTTTACACAGCCTGGCATCATCATTCTGTCATAAATTAAAGACTACAAGGGGGCGCAATCTAGCCTGGCCGATATCTGTTATAACAGTGGCTGCGCAAAAATTGTGCTCACGACCGCATGTTCAAAGCTATACGTCGCGCGCCGATCTTGTCTCTAAGGGAAACCGTAGCCAGGCGACGACAGGGAACGAGGTCGATTTTCTTCTTGAAGTAACAACTCTCCAGAGTGCTGTGTTTGAAGTGGGGTGGGATTACAATAAGTCGTGGTACCTGTCGTGCATTACAGGGCATGAGTCTATTGTAGAGACTTAATAGTTCCACAGGCTTTCACTCAACACAAGTGGGGACGAGCGTGAGTAGTCAGCTTAGAAGAATCATTTTGTTATGAAGGATTTAATTTTTAACTTTACTGGGCCACTAAGCCATGCGTTCTGCTTGCTTGTGTAGTATATGCCATCTTGTGTTTAATGGGGGCTACAAGAAAAGAAATATATCGATCCCTGAGGGTAAACTAAGCAACTTAGCAAAACTCTACCATTTTCCCGATGTTTGGTAAAATATAAAAATTCGGTCCTCACACACTGATCAAGACAAATCCCCTTGAAAAGGTGACAGGATCGCGGCTATTACGCATGTGCAGTATCTGGTAGCAGCATGCTTTGAAGTTTCCAAATTTTGTGTGGTTCAATATTTCGGTCACACGCTTTCTCCACGGGCACAGGACTTCAATTGTTGCCTTTCGTGCTTTCAAATATTTCTTTCATATTGATGTTTCTTGGATCCCCATTACGTCCAAATTCCACGTCAGAACGTTCCTTGTGGGCACATGCTCCGGCTCATCATTGGTCGGTAGATCATCTTCCTGGCGCTCATTGGCCAGTTGTGCGTTCAGGCCTTCCTCGATGATTGGCTGCAAGTTGCTCGCTGCTGCCTCTTGGTCGTCGGGCGGTCGCGGCGGCGGATCGCCAACGGGTCGACTGCTCGCCAGTCTGATTTCGCCCAACCGGGACCTTTTGACCGCGGGCTTTGGCGGGACAGGCGGGCCGGTCCTCGGGGTGTCGGCGGCGTCCTTGCCCCCGCGGTCCTTGGTCTTCGGTTGGTGGAACGACCCCGTCGCGATCATGGTCTCGGATTTCAGTAGCAGCTGGAACAGCGCCTCCTGTTTCTTTTTCAGGTCAGCCTGGAATTTGCGGACCTCGCTCTCGGTCTTGCAAGCGCGCAGTCGCCTCAAAAGGCGGGGCTCCTCCTCCTTGATCTTGCTGGCGGACGCTGGTTGGTGGAGAGCCTTGGAGATGGCCTCGTTCAAGTTGTGCACTTTTTTGCCTTTAAAGTTTTCATCTCCTGCTGAAGCAAAAAGCATACTTTTAAAAAATCCTTGTCATAATTTTGAAGTGTGTTGGGTGTCGGTGTCAAGAAACTTTATATAAACAAAATTTGAGGAAAAGCCATCACGGAAGTGCAACCCAAATACAGTGTTTTTATAGCTTAACCTGCTAAACTCTTGTCAGTTATACTTCAGCACCAAAAAAGGTAGTTCTGTGATTTCAAATGTATATCCCCAATGGGATAGGTCTGTCACCAATAGATGTCAGCCGTGAAGACTTTGGAGGAGTGCCAAGATGATATATTGCCGTATCATGCAAGGAATTATCCAGAAGTAATTCGGTTGTGGTCGAGTATTGGCCTCGTTGGATAGCACGTCTGTCACCACACGACATTATTCTTAACTTATCTCCTGTATCAACCATTAATCATCTGTGCCTGACTGGGTCACAACAGGGTCTATAAGAAGGTATAGATAAAACACGGAAGATGTCTGGAAGACTTTTTTTTTTAATTCAAAGGACTTTTCGAGATAAATGTTAAGTATATTATGTCCGTAATGGGCTTGTATCGAGTGATTTCGCTGAATGTACTTATTCTTGTGGTAATAAAGCTCATGAGTGTAGATTAATAATGGAGACCAATGCAAGGAGGATTTTCGTATGGTCATGCACAGTTCATCAACTGTCCCACAGTGCAGTTCAAGACTGAATAAGGGGAAACCAAGAGAGAAAGTTATTTTCACAAAGCAGTTGGAATACTTCGCAATCCACGGATAATTCCGAGGAGAGACTGTGCGTTACTCTCCCGGTAGAGGGGGCAACTCCCTTTCACGATTAGTCACCATCACCTGACAGTTCTCTCCACACCTCCACCGCGGCGGCGATCATCTCCTTCCTCTCCCGGTCTAGCGCCCGCCTCTCCTTCAGCACGGCCATGAATTGTCGGTTCATCAGCTGGTTCTCGCGGGCCATGTGCAGCTTTTCCACTTCGATGTGCAGCAACTCCTTGTGCATCCTGTCAAAATTCGGGGAATGACTCGATGCTGACGAACAAAAGCGGTACCCTGTGTCCCAGACCCCAACCGCAAACCAAATTATATGATACGGGCTTGTGGTCGATTGGCCTAATCCTATATTTTTAAATCTCGGTTTCTAGACTCGGGAGCAGCCTGGAGGTGAGGTCGCTGCAGCAGTAGAAGGCAAATGTCCAGTTTCAGAAATGGCCCCCCTCGTAAATCGAGTGTACACTCTAAAATCAGCTGTCGACTTCTTCTCTTTCTGACCCAAACTCCAGATTCATCAAGTTCATGGACCCCAATAATCACATTCATGTTCCATAACATGAAGTACAAATTAGCCTAGGTAATATTATGACATGAGTAAAGTTCAGCAATAAACCAGTGTCTTAAAAACGGGTATCAAGCTATGCACGGACCTTTCCATGTCAAATTCTCTATGGAGCATTTTCCTCTGGCTTTCGATCTCCTCCTGGAGCTGTTGGGCGGTAGGGGGCGCTGTATCCTCGTTGCTGCTCGCCTCTTCCAAAGGGTCCGCTTGCTGTTCGCTACCACTGCAATTTGTTGGGGCCAGCACGGCCTTGCCGCCCTCCCCTGCGCTAACAGCTTTGATTTCGCCGGGTGCGGCCTTCGCGTCACGGTTTGCCGACCTATTCCGGTGACGGAGAAAAAGGCGGGAAATTTGGCCTACCGTGTTCGACATGGTGAAGGTTATTTAGTCTGGCAATTTAAGGGAGCAAAAGAACAGGTAAACAGCAGCATTAGTCATGTCGTAAGTGTGACACCGGAAAAGCAAAAATTGCCTATGTATGGCTTGCTTGTTATCGAATTTCGATCACGCGCATCGCGCAGCGCAATATTCTGACTACGCTTGCGTCTACCGTAAATTTTGGCGCCTATGGACAAGGTCGAGTCTCCCCGAGCTTGCCCGAACACGATCACTACAGGAAAGTTTTAAAGTTACTGACATGTAAAAACAATAACAGAAAATGCACTTGTCTGTACGCCTTATGCCTATATCCAATGATGAAACCGGAAATAATGGAATTTTTATTTTAGGGTCTCAATTTTTAAATAAAAAAAAATAAATTAAAATTTTCAAGTGCCGGTTTCCAATATTTTGTGAGTTTGATAAACCTTTTCATTTTTTCAGCTGTTTATCATTTATAGGTCAAGGTAGCTTAGAAACATGCCTCTTAGTTATGTTTATGTTAATATGAAAAATGTGGAGAGTAGGCCTGTTAGATTATGGAGCTCAAGAACACAGGATTAACCTCGGGTACATTAAAAATCCATCATTCTCTGGACGACGCCAGCGCAGCTGGAGGCCCCCTAATTGTTGGTTACAAGCGAGTACAATGTATATCGCCGCGCTCCCCATCAAAGACCCATCCTTGGCGAGTCGATGATTGGTTTCCGCTCATTAAAATCCCCGCTGAAGCAGACGGCAAGCCGCTTGCGTAAGAAAAACACCCCCTCTTCTGACAAAGCTTAAAGCTGTGCCTAATTGCAGGAACGGAGGATTGCTCCCGTGGGGATGGTGCAGCCAAGTACAGTTCCTGGAAAAAAAACCCACCACCGATTAGAAATGCACATTTCTGGGAAATGTTTGTCGGTTGTCACTTCATAATTTATTTCTATACTCCTCATGACGTTTTTGTATCGCGACAGTTACATTTCCTGGCACGTCAATTGCTAGTCAAATCCCTCCTCTCTCTAATTGAAATGAACTTTGACAATGGAACACAATACTTACATTACTTTATTTGGTACGTGTGGCTTGACAGTGATGTCTACTTATTTTCCATGTTTTATTTGACGTAATTGCAATTCCTGGTAATCTAAATGCAGACAACGTAAGTACTGTTTAATTTTCCCTCCTGTCTAATTTCCAAAAATTTAAATTCTGCTTTTAAATCGCAATACAAGAAAAAAGAATCATTATGTTTGTAACACGTTATGCATGGTATTTGGCACACATCACCTTCCAAACTAAATACAGAATTGCAAAGAACTAGACACGATTCCCAAGCAGCGTGTAGAATAAAATGTAGACAAATTAATGTCCAATCTTCTAAAAGGTCTAGTTCCATTATATTAACGAAATACATTTCTTCCGGCTGATTGCAGTTACCTCAGGAACAATCTTGACAATGACAACTGTCACCTTTGTGATAAAGGGACGTTTTATCTGAGCATTGTTTGCCTGTCAGCCAACAAAGTTACAATTCATCGCCACATCGAAACCCATGCTTTCTTTGCAGTTCAGTTCATTTATACGTCTTCGGTGTCGTAGTGCGTTCAGTGTCCTTGGTCATGCTTTGTCACTGTCGCATGCGGATGCCCGCGTTTCAACTGAACACACAGTTGCATTTCCATCGATTTCTGATGGCTTTTTCTCGCTGCAGCTAAAATTTCCTCGTCAGTATGCACGCCCTCATAATTGGGACCAGCATTGTAAAGATCCTCATTAATACGGACTCTGACACCACAAACATGAGACTAGACCACAATCGATCGATACCTTCATATCAAGCAATCAAACGCGCGCACACCCACGGCTGCAACCAAAGACGTCACCAGTCACGTGCGCAGTGTGTTCAATAAGCAATACACGGAGCAACACTGACCTGGGGATGGCTGTGATGTGCGCTGTGCCACACAAGGCAGACGGTAGGCACGAGGTTAAACCTGTATCGACTCGTGGAAGCTTCGTCGTAGCTTCCGGGAAGTCAGGCCAGCGCCATTTTGGTGATGACGTCACGAAAATGCGACAACCGTCCGCCGAATTGATTCCAGCCTTGGCCAACAACGCATGATAATCACGCGGCCGTGTAGGTGGGTCTACCTGCATCATTAAAGGAAGGTCACCAACACCTTGAATTGTTACGTCCTCGCCACAACTATCAGAGGTCGTCCAGGAAGTACAAACACACGAGAGATGTTGGCATTTACTTGCACTTCTAATCTCTGCATGGGCGGTCCAAAATGTCCTTGTATCCTACTATGATCGAACTTGCTGCTGATTAACTGTGCCTGCATTGTATTCTGTCAAATTTAATACCCACAAGGGGAGGCTCATATGCGTCGAAAATCGTTAACACTTGATTATTGTGACATTAAGTGGGGCTGGAATTGTGTGTAGATAGTCTGAAGTCAGCACTTTTTTTCTTACGTGCACGTGCTTTCCGAGCAGCCCTTTCCGGCGTCAAGTACGCAACGTAAGCCCTTGTGCCATATTTTACCGACACTCTTCCAAGGTAATATTAAGTTTCCGACACGTTTACTCATAATTTCGCGGTGGAAGTAGTGGAGGTGGGTCACTTCCAAACGTGGGAAGATGATTTGGGGATATGCGATATTGGAGGTAAAATGTGACTGTGGCAGGCATCATCAAAACACACATCTGAGCTGGAAATCACTACAAGATGATGTGATTTTGGTAAACCTTCACCAAACGTATAATGTAGACGTGCAAGTAAAATCAACGGTCCACGTATTTCCCAAGCTTGACAGTTCAATCAGGCGAGCGACACGAGGTATATCAAATCCCCCCTTTCGGCCCCCGATGTGCGTGGACCTTTAAAAGCGACCGTGCCGCCAACCTATATACTGCACGCAGCCGCTTTTTTAGTGCCAGCCACCATTTCTAATCGATCATCTCTCCCCGCGCTCTGTCATCCGCTCTCCTGTCTCCCCCTGCCTCATTTCGTGAGTGGCTCTCTCCGTGACCGTGTGGCTGTGCTCGCTGCTGCGCCGCGCTTTCAGCATCGGGCTCCGGGCATAATGGTCGTGATATAAGAGAGGGAGAGAAGGAGAGAGCGAGGAGAGAAAAAAAGCAAGGCCTGATACTGGGGGTCAGTGGATGCCGTGCCGTGTGACTGTGTTATTTCCCCTCGACGACGCCTGAACCGATTGCCGAGCCGTCGAGGTGAGCCTGAATTATTGTCTTCTCTACTTCAATCGGATTTTGGTTTGCTAGAAGCGGATGTTACATCCATCCTCTTACACTTTTGCCACCTCAGAATTTGTATTTGATATCGCTCGCAAGGGTGACTACATTTTAAACGAAGATACCTGATCTAAAATGTATACCTTTTGCGGCGATTGCGATGTGTCTTTTCAGAAACACTTCAAACTGTGAAAAAAATGTAAGAATCTTGTTTGCTCCAATGTGCATGCAGAGAACGATAAGTGTTTGCCGTGGTCGTTTCAACTCACACTGTGACATTTGCCTGAATGGGCCTTTTTTCTCTGTATAATTGGATGTGTTGAAAAACATTTCTTTGTGGGGCATCTTCTGTTTTTGGTTTTTTCAAGATAAATGCGTTATCCTGCAGATAGAGTCGCATCTCAAACCCGTCACCTTCAAACGTGTTTTGCTTTGTTGTGATAATGTCAGTAAGGCCGAGAACGTTTGCCATTTATTTATGTTACGATAACTTTTTTTCATGAACAGACATTTTTGTAGTCGAGTCCCAATCCGGTCAAAAGATAGAAAATAGGGCGAACAGTTTAGACAACACTGTTTACGTCGCTTTCTGTTTATGGATATAGGCAACAGGATATAAACGGACGAAAAAGTGGGCCGGAAATACCCGGGTGTTTTTCATGGACTCAATCAAAGAAATAAGCTTTTTTTCGCAGATATTATGTTGACAGTTGCCCGCATTCATTGAAGGATTATAATGATACATCCTTGAAGCTTGATTGAAATCTATGTAACTCAAAATTTTTCGAATAGTTTACCGGGTATTCTGGAGAAGGACGGATAACACAATTACAACAGTGTAAACGAAACTTAACTTTGTGACGCATAAAGATTAACCACGAAACTTACGCAAAGAAAAATATTATAATTTTTTTGCCAAACTAAAGGTAAGTGTAAGTAGAAGATCTATGATAATTCAATTTCATAGCAATCAGTTAGATCATCACTCTTGACATATATCATATCTTGGTTTTGATTTTTGTTCTGTTGTGTTTTATAAGTATCCATGCCAAATACACACGGGACCAGAAAATAATTGTAATAATAATAATCGTATTCTTTTCCTGTATAGTGATTTTTCACAATATTATCTCGCAGTTATTCAGGCGATGTTAAAACTAATTTCTAACCTGTCCGTTGTGGCCATTTAAATATAAATTACAAGGAAAGTAAATCAACAAAAGCAAAAATCTGATAACGACTGCGGTCCTTTTTTAGGTCAAAACGAAAATCAGTGAAGAACACAGGTCGCTTTCCACACCCATACTAACCATAAGCGTTAATTGTAACCGAATGCCTAGACCCACAGCCATGCATGCGAGTCCGCTGAGTGTCGTGTCCTGATCCTGAAATGAGATACGGCTGATTTTTGTCAAGCAAATAATTTCTGCGCCCGGAACGGAGAATGAGTGAGTGAGAAAACTCTGCCTTTCGCATTGAATTTCATATTCTGGGGGAAAAAAAACGATCTGGGCACCTACACGGTTATGTCGACTTTGCCCCGCAGACATGCGCATACAATTACCCTGACTTATCTGTCTCCTTGTAGGATTGCGTGTAAGAAGGGCAAACATGTGAATGTGACAAAAACAAATACCGGGAGAGCAAAATATCGGACGCTGGCATAAGTGGAGAGAATACAAAAAAAATGTCAATTTAGAGAAAAAATTCCCATCATGTCATGAATTCGATACAGGCAAAAAAATTGCCAAAGTAGGTTGTATTGGGTAAAACTCGGTCTCCAGCTTCAGTGCCAGCGGGATTTACTGCCTGTGAATGTCTAGGGTTCATGTTAGGTTTTACTACAAAAAAACGTAGTTTTGGGTGTTTGACCCAGCGCCAGGAAATTGCAAACGTTGCGGGAATCCACGGGCGCGTCGACTGCAAAGGTGGAGACGAAGATGTGTGCTGACGGGAACGACAGACGCTACATGCTCTCACGTGATTTAGGTGACGTTTGCGATTGTGAAAAGGAGATAGCCTGTGACCCAGATAACGGTGATGGAAAATGATACGACTTGTGTTAGGGATCACGACGGTGAAAAACGACAGGCATGACGACGACACGAAAGCGACAGGTGAATGGAAACATGCACTGCTTGTAATGGAAAATATACAGAGACAAACGCATGCGCAAGAAAATGCCCCATCCATAATATCACTGGCCGGAAGAGCACAGGACTGCTGCCATGGTAACCACCTCGCACATAATATCCTTTAGCTCATGTTTGTCCACGGCTGTGCACAGGCTACGCGGAGAAATGTTTAACCGCTGATTAAAATGAGTAGTTAAAACCGTAGACCCGATTCCATAAGAACAGTCCAGAGTGCTGCGTAGACCTTGAAAATTGCAATTACATTTGAAATTAAAATGCTCAGTACATGTATTCGAAGAATAAATGTCCTCGGCGAATATCGAGTTTCGGTTAAAGTCTGTTTCAATATGCACGGTGCTCTACCTGATCATTTATCTTCGACAGACGGGAAGCTCGTCAACTTCTACTGCTTGTATTCAACAGATGGAGAAATTGTTAGTATCAGGTCCCAGATAATTACGAAAAAAAATTCTATAATGAGGAGACAAATGTGATTGGAAAACTCCTCGGGTACTAAAACTAATTTTTAGGGTACTAAACGTGAAAACAGCTGCCTAAGGGACAGTGACGTTGGAGATTGTTGAACATGTATCCGCCTCGAGTAAAAGCACCCCCTCAGCGGTTGAAAAGAGCCATCATGGTCGGGAGTGTCTCATTTGTTGGTAGCGATGCGACCGTAACGCGTGCACTTCGTAGTCGTTCGTGAACCAGCGAAGTTCAGTTCCGACCAAAGGACTTTCCGTTACTAAGAAAATAGCGCCCTCTCTTGGTCCAGCTTGAAGCTGATAGCGAAGCAAAGAAAACAACTCAGTGGTCAGTTCGAGTCCATGGCAAAACGACCCTGCTTTTCCTGGGACAGATCGAACAGATCCAGGGGCCCATGGATGTAGCCCACCGTTCAAGGAAAACGCGTCACGTGATGCACTCCCCGAAAGTGCCTCGTAAAGGCCTACATCGGTATTTTGATTACATCAGCTTCAGTGTGAAAAGAACAACTACCAAATTTACGAAATGGTTGGAATCACCCGATCTGTCGATTTCAACTTTAACTATTTCGGCAGATGTTTGCCACTGCATGTTGTTCATTTTTCCTATGTAAAACTTATGTGCCGCGGAGAAAAATTTCCATTGCGTTAGCCTTCCACATCTGCAAGACCAGGCTCAAATCCCACATGCTATGGCGACAAACCCCCTGCCTGATTTTGCAACTCGGAGGTTGCTCTGTAGTGTCATCAGTGGGCTTTCCCTCTCAGTATGAAACAGTAGCTCAGCCAATGGGGTTCCTTATTAGCATGATGAATAATTCCAGAGCAAAATCGAGACGCCGATAGAGGCAAAATTGGGGCGGTAGAGATGGAAGGTGCAAACAGATGATAAAAACGATAAGCACTGAACACAGCATTATAGGCATTATCCTAAATAGGCTATCTTACTTGTGTGTTTTTAGAGCCACATTTAATAACCAAATATTTATATTTTGCAACCGGGAAAAATCTACCCACCCACCTGGTCTGAACATTTTTGAATATGTAAATAACCATTGCCCAAATTATTGTTTGCAGCAAGCCTATATGCCAACAAAGACCGCTCATGTTCAGCACGTCACAACACATTCACCTATGCCGAACAGCGCGGTGCGTGAAAACGGGTCAATTAATTAAAACGGATTGTTTGAGACACTGCAGACAACGAGAGCCACTTTGACCCGAGGTTCGTGCGCGGCGGGCCCCTGCGTCATTTTATTTTGTTGGTTAGCCCGGTGGGGGGGGGGGCATTACGCGCGAAGTTAATCTGATATGAGAAGACAAATAACTGATAGATCAGACTTCGAAGTGGCTTGTTCAGGAACGCTGTTAAGGCCGTGATCCGCAGTCTAAATAATCAAGGAAAGTGAGAATGGAAAAAAGTAAGAATATTTAATATTTTCATCTGATCAAACTATATGAAGATTTATTAACCGTGTTACATGAGATCAAACACGGCCGTTTCCACGAAACTTTAAACAATTTTTCACAAACTTAATGGACATCATATCTATGTTTGGCAAGATGAGTTGAATGAAAAGAACGGAAAAAAGTACCAAAAGCGGTGAATTTAAACGTGTATAATAAAGATATCTGAATATATACGACTATACTCGTCTGCAAAGCCATTTGCAGCGGCGATGGAACGATTGTGACAGTTTGGGGCAGTCGTGAGAAAATCGGGCATCAGCCAATAATAGACACATCCATTAAGCCCCGCCTCATTGTGCTCTGACCAATAATTGGGGGCCATGTCCCCCTCGGAAAACGTAGGTGGCCACATTAGTCCTGTGCTGCCCCGAGGTGCTGCCGCTGCTGGTCGGTGTAGCTCCCCACTTTGGCAAGGTCAGATATATGCATTGAATCGCGCCCGTCAGTTTAGACGCAGGTGACCAATCAAGCGCCTTTAATTGCCTGGAAGTACCTGTCAGGCGTCACCATTTCAGATCAGTTGGTATTTCTTCAGTTGTTCAGATCACGCAAAATACATTTGTGTAATCAACTTGGGTTTGTGATTTCGTCACATGATAACAGCTTCAAGCCGCAGCAATCAGTGCGCTGATTTTGGATTGACTTGGAAACTCCTTGAGCAGCAAGTGTAGGCCTATACTACGTAAACACGTTAACCAGTTGTCCAATCGTTTGAAAAAAAAGAAACTTGAAGCACTTTGCGTATCCACAGGGCCAAGATTGTCCATTTGGCACATTTTGGCACCGTGCCAAAGGCCCTCGAAAAATTCGGGGCCAACGAAAAATGTAAAGGCCTACGAAATACTATACGTGCGCCGTAAAAATTAATACAAACACCGGCATTTACGCG